GTCACAACCTTGTAAAGCTTCACCCACGTACTGAAAATACAAATAATTGCCAACTGAACTTGAACACCTAACTTGATCTATGCTCCTAAATATACACCAAACTCTAATACTGTACTGATACAGTATATAATAATATTAATTTATATTTGAGAAAATAGTGATTTCAATGCGTAGTACAAGATTTTAAAATTGGATGAATGCATCTTTGGTGTTGGTCGCAGCTTGCACAAGCACAGCCTGAGCATGGGATGGCCCTTGATCACTGTCCTCTCCACATTATAAGAGCAACAGCTTTTGTTTACCAACTTGTAGGTTGAAACACAATTACAAATCGATAAGCTGTGGGCTCCTATTGTAATACAAACTGTACTATTATATCTCACTTTTATGTGCTCATCATACAGATGGGGGTTGAGATTTGTGTGTGATGGAGCAGGTAAGAACCTTTCCTGATAAGTGTGCTGCTCCCGGCTATAAGGTGCCTCTGACCGCATCTTTGACTCGGTGTGCTTCCCATTGCATTGACTTTTTCCATCTTGTACATCCCCATTTTAGAGGCAACATTGTATAGTCAAAATTCTAGAAGAAAAAATATTTAACATATTGTAGTTAATCATTTAATTTTGATATAGTTATGTGGAAATAAAGAACTTGTATACCCCACCCAATACTGTATATTTTAAATGGTTATTCTGCATGAAAAATAGAGAATTGTATGTTATGCTGTTGTAAATTTCCTGACTTGCCATTGCCAGTCATCTATGTGATACAACCATAATATGTGGAGTTTAGTCAGTCAACGTAATTCCTGTGATTTGAGATACCTACTGACCTCCCGTAGCTTGTCCATCCATCCTCTGTAGTGAAAACGTGCGACTTGAAGTTGACACTACTGTAATGTGTTATGTCGTGTGCGTGACAACGACGTAAATGTTGGTTATATGTTTAGGTTAAATATTAGAAGCATATACTTGACAAATACTGTCGGTCCAAAGCTTCAGCCCTGTGATCTCTAATTCAACATGTTAAACCACAGATATTTAAAGAATAAGGTGAGGATATCAAGTTGATTAACTATATAACTTAAGAATTTAGTTAAGCATACCTATTTTGAATCACAATAGCGAGACCTCATAGGCCAGCTATAACTGTACTCCATATTTAACCATTTGTTTTGTTTAAAATCTATGTTGGACTATGAAGTGCATCTAATAGATAAACAAAGGTTAAACAAAATTAAAGAATTACTTTCTAAATATTATCTCCATTCATGATTTTGCATTCAGATTTGTTTTTTTTTGGGGGGAGGGTGAAAGGAAGTTGTAATATTTATCGTTAAATAATTATTATTGCCGATCAGGGACTCAACATCCATACTACAAGCGGCTCTGAGTGTTGCTACATTCCTGCGAAAAAAAATGTGCAAATTGAACTTAAATGTAAAGTGTTGTATATGGCGACCATAGACTCATGTTTCTCATACCTCCAAAAGTCTAATTTCCTTGATTTCTAAATAAAACATATTTGAACATTAACATTTAATGCTCCCTCTACTTTCCAGCCATAAATACAGCATATAATGAGATACAGAATGCTTGGACTGTGTGATAACCTTTGTAAAACAGGAATGTAGCATTTGCAGAAGTATGACATGCTGTCAAAAATGCAGTTGACCCAAGAATTAGTGTGGATTTTGTCATACTGATCCCTATTAAATCATGCTTAACCAGCAAACACGTATCACCAAAAATCACTTGTACACTTCAAAACTTGGTACGAAAGTAATCGTGTACTACCCAATCGATTTATTTATATACAGCACAAATCATGGGCCACCTGTATGTTACTATGGATACTTGTTCTCTTCGTGATGTACTCTTGCCATAAAACATAACCGTGTTAGGACAGTGTAGTATAATATACTGAACCATGCATATTCTGTCCTCATAGTCTGACTAATAGAAATAATCTGTAAAAGCCAGGTACACCGTTTGGCATGTTTTATGCTCAGTTATAATGATGTACTTTTTGTATTTAGTATTCTCTGCCCTCGGTTTTGGCCTATAACGTCATTCTGACATTAACATTTAATTCTGCCGATATTTAAATGTGTGATCCTAGAATGCAGTGTCAAAAACTATATATAAGGTGTTGAGGAAGTAGATTATTATTGCTTCTGGTTTCATACACACACAAGTCATGTAGAGCTAGTATACTGTACGTGTTCATTTATTTCCTTCACTCGGATCATTCCAGACTCGAACTGGGGGGGTCAAAGTTAATTTTGAGGACCAAGATAGAGTCTGCGATGATCCAAGTAAATGTCATTAACCACACTATTGTGGAGTGTATCTTTTATGTTCGTTTACTGTATGTGCCACTTTATACCAACTATACATTTAATTTAAACTAAACAGTTTAAGCTGAGTAGACTAGTGTTGTTTATGTGTTAATAAAGTGGCATTGGATGAATAGATGGTGAAATAAAAGGTAAGATGACGCAGAGAAGCATTGTAACAAACTAGGTTGTTGTAGGAATGATCCAGACTGTTCTCTCTACACATGGGTGTATGGGAAGTTGGAACCATGTGTAGGGACTGTATTTCAACCGCCAATCCCCAGGGGATGCCCCCCGTGCTCTCAGTCAGGTCCCTACACATGGGTCCAACTTCCCATACTCCCATGCGTAGAGAGAACATTCTGGATCATTCCTACAACAACCTACTTTGTTACAGCATTTCAAGAGGTTAAAATAAGCGATTAATGTTGTACTGTGAAGGAAAATGCAACTGCTGTGTGTGTGGGGTCTGGAGTGAGTTCCTCAAAGACTGTATTTATAAGTATTGTGAACGAACACCAGGATTGACAGGATTACTGGTTGTGGGGCTATTGAGGTTCACGTAATAATAATAATATGTCGGGTAAATAAAGCATAATGGCTCTAGAGGTGGTATTAAAGCTTGGTCAAATATAGAGTAATTGCAGATAAAAGTATAACAAACAAAATTAATCTCGCAACTAACTATTATAAGATGATAATGAAGTGTACAGTGGCACATTGCTCCAGTGGACTAATTGTGAGTGAATGTGTTTTACCAAGGGGGCTTTCCACTACGTATTTCTTTCACATTTGCAAAATATATTTTGTTGGCCCCAAATTATAAAACACATCTTTGCACATATATAAAGTAACAACATGATTAACAATGCATTTTAAATGGACTTGAAGGTGAAAAATTAAAAAAAAAAATTCTTTTTTTTAATTTTGGGAAGAGATAATTAATCCATGATATTGTAGGCAAAATGTGGTATAGAAAATTGTATTCAATATAAGAGAGTGTATTAAATACTTGTACTGTGCTGTCAACAGGCCTCTAACTCCACACTCCCCACACTTAGTCACATTACTCAAGGCACCGAGTGTTTTCTTCTATGGTGAAATAGATGTGTCCTCGATTGATTGATTGATAAAGATTAAGCCACCCAAGAGGTGGCACAGGCATGAATAGCCCATAAGTGGTACAATTTTTTTTTGTTTTTTCAGTAATTCTTTTCAGTATTCTGAGGTTGCATTTAATCATCAAGCTGTTATTGCGAGGGAGGATACTGCTTCACAGTCTTTATGAGGGTGTCCAGCTGCTGGACACGATGTGTCCTCTTCCCCTGCCTTGTTTTGCCTCACTTCTCCTGATAGCTTTAGCTTACAAATAACAAATGATGTAAAGAGAAATGGTTGAATGTGGGGGAATACCAAGAGGTCCTGCCTCACGGCACATTACGTTACATTTTTCTCCATCATAGAAGTGTCGCAAACTATTACAAAATATTCTACAAGAAAAAATATTATGAAACTTAAATAACCTTAGTAATTACTATATTACTGAAACAAATATAGTATTTACTACTGAAGGCTCCTGGGTAATACAGTAATAAACACTTGGTAAAAATATAAATTATTGCTATTTTGTTGGAGAGTTGAGTTGGCCGCCAATGACAGCTTCTTGAAGCAGACACCATTTTGGATCACCACGAATTTGTCCAATAACCACTTGTCTCTAGCCCACTCAAGGTTCTGGCCCTCGGCAGTCCAGTCGAGCCAGGTCCCACTGTATACATGTTTCATTATAGATAATACCACCCTCCTTAAAACTCATCCTTCCCAGTGAAGAGGCACAGTAAAAAAAAAAAAAAATTGAAGCTTTGCAATATTTGCTTATAAATTGTAGGCAATGCAAATATTTCCTTTCATATAAGTTAATGGTTTCAGTGAGAATGACAAAGTATTTGTGCAGGTACAGAACTGTACTTTTTTTTTTCCAATATAATATTTAGTCACATTTATTACAAACATTTTGTGCCTCGTAGATTTGTTTCAGTAGGGAAAGAGCGAGAGGAGAAGGATGACTGGGCTGTGCGAGCCACTCGGCACTACCAAGAGTAAGAACCATGACATGCTGCCTTGCTTGGTGCCAAAGATTTAGTAATTGTTTTTTGTGTGACCGACCCTTGGAACATAAGGGTGTTAGCAGGGTTTTCTTAATTATAGGAAGAGTTTTATAATTTTGTAAAAGGTGTTTATGGATTTAATGCTTAAAACAGGACTTTATAGTTTGTGTAAATTCCATATTGTACAATAAAATTCCTTTAGGCATTGATACCAGTTATCTTGGGGGAACTGACATTGTTTAGTGATGTTCATAATAAGTGACACAGTATTATGAATATGATTTTAAGAGAACTTGTCACCTTAGTTTTCTTATACATTACAGTTTTAATGTTGGAATGTTCCAAAAGCGCTGAAGCATTTAATTGGTAATGTGGAGCATCAGACGAGATGATCACCGTCTTGGGCTTTATCAAAATACTTTTGGTAAACATCTTGATACCTTAAAAATAATTGACTCTTGTTAGAAACTAAAGTTGCATATTTTAATGTAAAGAAGTGCCTTTATAGAAGTATTGTTTGATGTTAGTCTCCATAGGATAAATAATGTTAAAACTTTTAATAAAATATTTAATGTATTTCCTACCCATGAGTTTTTTTACCCATAAAATGCATTAATCTGAAATGTTCCTTATAGATAATCAAATTAATCTTCAAGAAAAACTGTCCTTACAAACAACCTACACAAATCTAAAACTGTTTAGGAGTTGACTCGTCCAACAGTTTACTAAGAAATATCCAACCTGATACACATACATTAAAATACAAGCCTAATTTTAATTTGATAAAAAACATTAAAGGTAATGCTGAATACCATTACCTTTGTGCTTCTATATCGTGCAAAGGCTTCAAGCTTTACACAACCAACTCACACCTGCTGCTAAAGGCACAAAACTACACTACTACATCACAAACATTTTAATGTAAAACAAAGAAAATACAATTTAAAAATTTGCAATGATCTAAAACTTGCAAACCTTTGATGCGATGTGATTCACTAGATGCTGTGTGCTCTAAAAAAAAACAAAAGCCATCTAAAAGTTCTGCAATGTGAAAAATACTTTGACATACGACACACACAACCCCCTTGGCCCCTGACACTATTTGGAATACTTGTCTTATAGCTGCTATACTCAACACCCTGCCTCTATCTTCCCTTGCACACTTCTGCATTCCTAGTGGCCATCATGTGCATATGCAGGCGATGAGTCACAATAACGTGGCTAAAGTGCGTTGACCAGACCACACACTAGAAAATGAAGGGACAACGACGTTTCAGTCCGTCCGGGACCATTCTCAAGTCGAGAATGGTCCAGGACGAGCCGAAACGTCGTCGTCCCTTCACTTTCTAGTGAGTGGTCTTCATGTGCATCATGTGCACCCCTGACCATCAGTATATTATAAACTTAATACGCTACAGTATGCTCATTTATAATGGCCGATAAAACTACCCGTCTGACGACCAGTACTCGGCTGCCATCTGTAGATTAGAAAAGTGTACCCGTCATACTAATGCTCACTAGAGTTCATTTCCTTACCCAAGCTCCTGTCTTACTACCTTTTCCCTAGAGTTGAATTGCTTGCACAAGTCACAAGATGAGTGTTATATGCACCCCCACAACCTTGCAAAGTACACACAAAACTTACAGTTTATTAAAAAAATACTATACAGTACTTGCTACCTCAACTACAATTGTCATATGGAAGAAGGACTGTGTACTGCTCACACTTTACTACTGTGTTAAGTATCTAATATTTAAGATGGAAGAGAACATTCAGCAAAGGCTTGTGCTTGACACACATCTAGACTTACAAAATAAATAATATACCATATTTGATTTTTGCTACCAAAACCTGGAGTTCATTAGAGACAGAATATTCAGATACTAATGCTAATAATCACAACCCAAAGCTATACCAAATAGCTTTTTATAATTATTTTAGATGTTTATAACAAAGCGATAACAATAATGTTTAAATCCTGCTAAATTTGTATAACCCAAAGCTATACCAAATAGCTTTTTATAATTATGTTAAATGTTTACAACAAAGCAATAACAATAATTTGTAAATCATGCAAAAATTTTTATGACCCAAAGCTATATTAATGGCTTATAATCTTGTTCAAAGTTTATAATGGAAATCGGTACAATTTCAGCTGGTAAAGAGAATGCAGTAGACAATATAAATCATAATGCCTAAGGCCAGAATTAGCACCGAGAGCACCATAGCTATGCGGTTTTCCCCACGGAGGCTCCGCAGGTTATTCTCATGCCGAGAGAGGTGAGTTTTTATGTCCTGAACTTCTTTCTCAAGGCGTTTCTTTTCTTCACTTGGGTAGTGCCGGCGCCTCAGCTTTGTCTCAATGAAGTCTAACCTGCCAACAAGATTTACATGTTACAATACAATAACAAATATAGTGTAATGAAAATATACAATTAATTTTTAGTGTTGCTTACTGTTACTTCAGAGGAATTTTCCAGCTACAATACATGGATCTCCTCATGGATGGACTAAGTACTGTAACATAAAATTGCTGAATACAGCACACTTTAAGCTAATAGCATTAACAATGTACTAAAAAAAAGTTTAAAGTTTATTTGAAAATGTATGATATAAATCAAAAGAGGAGATACAGTATTGTTTTATGAAATGAGCACAGGCTGATGTAAGTGGGCCAGCAAGGGTGGTTGAGGAAAGTGGAAGCCAAGTCTGTTGCTTGTGCAAATGAAGTTTGCAAAATTTTATGTCTAAATATGATGCAGAACTTTTTAAAATCTTCTCTAATTCTTTGTAAGGTAAGGTAAGGTAATTATCAAAAGGTAAGGTAATTATCAAAAGGTAAGGTAATTATCAAAAGGTAAGGTAATTATCAAAAGGTAAGGTAATTATCAAAAGGTAAGGTAATTATCAAAAGGTAAGGTAATTATCAAAAGGTAAGGTAATTATCAAAAGGTAAGGTAATTATCAAAAGGTAAGGTAATTATCAAAAGGTAAGGTAATTATCAAAAGGTAAGGTAATTATCAAAAGGTAAGGTAATTATCAAAAGGTAAGGTAAGGTAATTATCAAAAGGTAAGGTAAGGTAATTATCAAAAGGTAAGGTAAGGTAATTATCAAAAGGTAAGGTAATTATCAAAAGGTAAGGTAAGGTAATTATCAAAAGGTAAGGTAAGGTAATTATCAAAAGGTAAGGTAAGGTAATTATCAAAAGGCGGCACCAAACCGGGAAGGCTTGGTGCCTTCACCAACAAGAACAACAAGCAGACAAATACGAGACCAGATGCTCTCTCGCACCCTCCTTGGGTTTGTAGAGTTTTAGGATACTGTATATAAATAAATAATAATAAATAAATAAATGTTTATTTAGGTAAGGTACATACAAGAGATTTTACAAAGATTAGTGGATTTATAGATAGAGCTAGTACATACAATGCCTAAAGCCACTATTACGCAAAGCGTTTCGGACAGGTAAAACATTAATGACTAAAGCTTAATACTAATTGGGTATAAAGAATAAAATGTGTTGAGAACAAATAAAAATAGAGATAAAAGAGGGGGGAACATGGCTGAAACTGCAGCACAAATACAATTAGGTCGACAAACAGCAGTGTTTAAAAAAAAAAAACATGGGTTGACAATTGAGGGGTAAGGATATATGTGCGGATCAAAGACTTGCATTTGCTTAACCCTTGTCTGGTGAATATTAGGGCACTGAACACCTGTTCCTGAGTAGTGGGAATAGATCAATACTGATAAGTGACAGTAACTTCCACATTAAAAGATGACAACTGCCTTATTGTGACTCCTTGTCTGCAAGATGACAACCTTACATGCAAAACATTTAAAACATTGCAAATATATTACAAATCCATCATCTGACCTCTCATAGCATTCTTTTATTTCTCTCGATGTGTCCTCAAGTTGATTCATCACCGATGATGAATGGTTACCCGACTCTGCTGTGTCTGCCATGTTGGACCTGTCAAGTAATGTTATATTCAGTGGCGGACATGTGGGTGTATGGTCTATAGCTACCTCTCAATTTCCATATTTTTATGTTCAATTTCTGTACAAATAGACATTTATTAGTTATCCTTTGTCAAGTTTCTACTAATTAAAATTACTTGTTTATTTACACACAGAAATCACAATAGCGTGATGCATCAAATGAACAAATCCACAAGGGCCGTGACGAGGGTTCAAACCTATGTCCGATTCTTTTACCGTGCAATTCTTTTAACCATGTGCAATTCTGCATGATACGTGCAATTCTTTTAACCATGTCGTAGCTCAGTCGATTAAGGCAGCGTCTGGGATCCTCTCAAACGTAGGTTCGAATCCTTGTCACGGCCCTGGTGGATTTGTTTACTTGTTTATTTATTTTAATTATGGATGGATTCCTTGTGAGACCCCTGAGCATAAATGCTGGCCACAGCCTTTATGTCTACCTAGTTCCCAAAACTCATCTTCATCACTGGTTATAATCACAGCCGAGGCTTTAATCAAGTGAACAATAAGAGAAAGTACAGTACTCAGTACTGTTATATTTGATTTTCATAACATATTCCTTAAATGCCAACTGGGTGCAAAAGGTATATGTGTTTTCTTTACTTACTAAACATCACAACTAAAAGGGCCCTTGACACGCTAAAGGAATATTTACTGCACTTAATACATAACATAAATATGAGAATAAATGCAGGCCAGAGGTCATCCGCGGAGAATTATCTAAGCAGTACTCCTTACTGCTTTCTAAGATAATAAAAAGGCAAAGACAGTCTAGTATGACAATCAATTTCATCAAATAAAAGGTAACATGAAGAAAACATGGAACACTATTTCTCAGACATTGGGGTCAAAGAAGAACTTGGAAGAAAGGAACAATATTCCTAGCTGGAAATAGTGGAATGTTATCAGCTGCTGACATGATTACCGAATTCAATCATTTCTTTTCTTCCATTGGCACCTTACTACGTAGCCCCACCTGGTGTGGGTGTAGCCCCACCTGGTGTGGGTGTAGCCTCACCAGGTGTGGGTGTAGCCCCGCCTGGTGTGGGTGTAGCCTCACCGGGTGTGGGTGTAGCCCCACCTGGTGTGGGTGTAGCCTCACCAGGTGTGGGTGTAGCCCCACCTGGTGTGGGTGTAGCCTCACCAGGTGTGGGTGTAGCCTCACCGGGTGTGGGTGTAGCCCCGCCTGGTGTGGGTGTAGCCCCACCTGGTGTGGGTGTAGCCTCACCAGGTGTGGGTGTAGCCTCGCTGGGTGTGGGTGTAGCCTCACCAGGTGTGGGTGTAGCCTCACCGGGTGTGGGTGTAGCCTCACCAGGTGTGGGTGTAGCCTCACCGGGTGTGGGTGTAGCCCCGCCTGGTGTGGGTGTAGCCTCGCCTGGTGTGGGTGTAGCCCCGCCTGGTGTGGGTGTAGCCTCACCTGGTGTGTGTGTAGCCCCACCTGGTGTGGGTGTAGCCTCACCGGGTGTGGGTGTAGCCTCACCTGGTGTGTGTGTAGCCCCACCTGGTGTGGGTGTAGCCCTGCCTGGTGTGGGTGTAGCCCCGCCTGGTGTGGGTGTAGCCCCGCCTGGTGTGGGTGTAGCCTCACCTGGTGTGTGTGTAGCCCCACCTGGTGTGGGTGTAGCCCCACCAGGTGTGGGTGTAGCCTCGCTGGGTGTGGGTGTAGCCTCACCAGGTGTGGGTGTAGCCTCACCGGGTGTGGGTGTAGCCCCACCTGGTGTGGGTGTAGCCCCGCCTGGTGTGGGTGTAGCCCCGCCTGGTGTGGATGTAGCCTCGCCTGGTGTGGGTGTAGCCCCGCCTGGTGTGGGTGTAGCCTCGCCTAGTGTGGGTGTAGTCTCACCTGGTGTGTGTGTAGCCTAACCTGGTGTGGGTGTAGCCTCACCTGGTGTGGGTGTAGCCCCACCTGGTGTGGGTGTAGCCCCACCTGGTGTGGGTGTAGCCTCACCTGGTGTGTGTGTAGCCTAACCTAGTGTGTGTGTAGCCTCACCTGGTGTGTGTGTAGCCCCACCTGGTGTGGGTGTAGCCTCACCTGGTGTGGGTGTAGCCTCACCTGGTGTGGGTGTAGCCTCACCTGGTGTGGGTGTAGCCTCACCAGGTGTGGGTGTAGCCTCACCTGGTGTGGGTGTAGCCTCACCAGGTGTGGGTGTAGCCTAACCTGGTGTGGGTGTAGCCTCACCTGGTGTAAGAGTTCCTCCGTCAAGTGTTGTTTACGTGGTCGCTTACACTCCGCTGCCGCCGCTGTGAAGCAGATACTCACCTAAAGATATTTACCTACAGATACTCACCGGATACCAGTCACTTGGTATTAAAAAGGAATATCTTCTACAGGCATATAGTTATTAAATGAAGTTGAGCGATGTGATGGACATATTCCATCATAAGAACGACGCCCGCCGGCGTTAACACTGAAGGGCCACAAACATGGTCGAACGCACAAAAACACTTGACTGGCCAGTTTTTGGGTAGACTCCTATTACATTTACTGTGATAGTAATACTTGTATGTAATAATATGTATTAAAGGTAAACGCCTAACATGTAATATTAATTAGTAAAAACAAAGTCAGAAGCCACACGTATATCTCTACTTGTCTATTGTGGTAAAATATTTTGGGCGCTCTTGTTCTTATGCGCTAGCAGGCGTTCACAACTGATCTCACCTTCAAGGCATATATTGAGTCAATTATAAGTTGATGCGACGATGTCTATTGAATTTTGTAATTAGCTCATCAAGATTGTAACTTAGTTATCTATATGAATTGTGGGGCTCAGTCCCTGAGCACATTATGTGCCTCTGTAACCCTCTGTTCCTGCCCGAAACGCTTTGTGTAATAGTGGCTTTAGGCATTCTATATACTAACTCCATACTATAAGGTACATACATACTGTGTATGTATGTACCTTACCTGAATAAAAATTTATTTATTTATTATTTATTTGTGTGGTAAGACGTGTGGTTTTGAGGCTCGGTAATGATGACAGTTACAAGATACGAGCTACATGTGAGATTGCTAAGTCGGATTACGAAAGGGATTATGATTAGAATTTAAACCCAAAAATACAAGTATGAAGGTTCAAAATAAGGCAAATAGGACACGGATTTATTTATCGAAAACTTAGTGATAAAATATGCTCTCTGGTTCTTTTTCAAATTAAGACTATGGGTTCATTATCAAGTTTAAGTTCTAATACGTTTATTAAGACAATAAAATATATCTCAAAGGAATAGAGTAGCTTAGGCTATTTCTACCGAGGTTCACGAAGCAGTTACGCAAGCACTTACGAACCTGTACTTTCTGACCAGGGGGAGAAAGATACTGGCAGTATGGGGCGTTAAAGTTTATTGAAGATTAAATTCTGCAGAACATGTAAATATATAAAGTTCACATAAAGTAAGTAATTATATAAAGTTTATATTAAACACGGTTTATATTATAGACTTAACAAAGTTGATATTATATAAAACTTAATATTGAACATGTAAATATACAAAGTTTCAAATATAATTTAAGGAATATATAACGTTTATATTAAAATATATAAAGTAAATATATAAAGTAAATATATAAAGTAAATATATAAAGTAAGAATTAACAGTAACAATTCCAAGGACTAGATTTAACTTAAAAGGTACACCCGTAGTAAGTATGAGACCTTAGCCTATAGTGACATGGAAACTAATTCTGCAGAAACCTAAAGGTTAACTGGTACTAGAATTAAGGCCGAGGGCAAATGTGTAGTAATTATATAACACTAGGATATAACAGGCAGGACACAAAGAATAACTAATAAGTGAGAGACCACATAACACGTAATGTACCCGGCCAAGAGGCCGTAAAAGACCTAATGGATAAGGAGAAGGGGGTGTGACTACAAGTAGGGCTTACTAGCACCTAGACTGGGCAAAGTATTAGCTGCGGACAGCGGGACACTTGGGGACCGGCGCTGCACCCCCCTTCCCACATGCAGTGGGGAGACAATCGGGACAACTGTGCAAAGCATGACGGGGGTACAAAAGCAGCCGCTTGCAAAGGGGGGGGAGGGTGGGGTTTTGCGAGGGCAGCGGCGAGGGCAGGCGGAGTGAGGCGGAGCCCCATTGTGCGCCCGTATTTATACGGCCCCAAACTGCCCGCGCAACGCCGCGGGACGCGCTGCGCAATTGTTTCTTTCTCCCCCGCCAGAAACATCCCCGCTTGTGATGCAAGCAGTGACCATATCTTTTCTCAATCTTTGGCGGCTTTGTTTACAATTATTAAACAGTTAATGAGCTCGGAAGCACCAGGAGGCTGTTTATAACAATAACAACAGTTGATTGGCAAGTTTTCCTGCTTGTAAACTGTTTAATAAATGTAACCAAAGCCGTCAAAGATTGAGGAAAGATATACACGTTCGTAAGTGCTTGCGTAACTGCTTTCGTGAATATAATACAATACAATACAATACAATTTTATTTAGGTAAGGTACATACATACAATAAATATTTACAGGGATTGTTTAACTTATAGGTATAGCTAGTACATACAATGCCTAAAGCCACTATTACGCAAAGCGTTTCGGGCATGATAAACTTAAATGACAAGCTTAATACTAATTGAGCATAATGAGTAGAATGAAAACAAGAAATGAAAACATAGATGAAAAAGATGAATCTGATGAATATAGATGAATCTGGCCTCAGGATGGCCAGGCTGAACTTCCGCGCCCTTATAATCACCATTGTTTAATAATCTTCACAGGGAGAAACAACTGTAAATATAGGAATAGTTTATTACAACATACACGGTAAAGAAAACAGCTCGGAAACTAAGGAAATAAAGCTGCCGAAAAAACATTAAAGTCCACTTCAAGTTCAAGTATGTTTATTGAGACAAGAAATACATCTCAAAGGGATAGAGTAGCTTAGGCTATTTCTACTCCCTTCTACTGCTCCTAATCCACAAATAGCAGTACAAAAATCACATTTAACATTACAGGTTAATATAGTAAGCACAGGATATAATTATTACACTCTTGGAGCAAAATACTTGAAGCTCCTAACTATTCTATCATACCATTATCACACATCCAAACAATTTGATGTGGTACACTACTTATTTCCTTATTTCTATAGTTATCAATAAGTTGCCAGTGTAATACATAATGTTGTAATGTGTGGGCGTGCAACATACTACATAATTGACACTCCTTTTTATCTTTTTCACTCGGAGTGACGGAGGGTGTGCGAATAATTTTGTTGACAGTTTACATTTGGTCAGGTCTACATCAGCAGATAATGAGTACTCCCAGAGATACTTGTAACAGAGTCTAAGCCGAGCAGTAGAAACATCTAGAAGTCTGCTGATATTATTGGATGATCCATAGATGTGTGGCTCCTCTTGCATGATAATATGATGATAGATGGAATTACTGGTGTCAATTTCACTTTGCCTCAGATCTACAAGATCTTCAATTCAAATGTTTATTTAGGTAATGTTTATTTACTTAAGGTACATACAGGTACATACAAGAGGTTTTACAAAGAGTGATGGATTTATAGATAGAGCTAGTACATACAATGCCTAAAGCCACTATTACGCAAAGCGTTTCGGGCAGGAAAAACTTAAATCTTGTTGAAGTTCTCGGTGTACTGCTGCTCTCAGATTGCTCATTGACACTCCAAGGTTACACTCAACGGCTCCTTTAAAGCCACTCATGATGAGACACTCCAAGGTTACACTCAACGGCTCCTTTAAAGCCACTCATGATGAGACACTCCAAGGTTACACTCAACGGCTCCTTTAAAGCCACTCATGATGAGACGGAGCTCTCATAATCTTCACCAAAAGTCTCCCGTCATCCTAACCAGAATATAAAAGTTTTCCCTGATAATATTACAAATATTAATATCCTGCATTAGGCTTCACCTTTACCCGTGGGGGCATTACCACCACCACTCCACGAGGACAGGAAGCCGGCGGCTTGTCCAAGGTCCCCCCACACGCGTGTAAAGTAGCTTTACAAGAATGTAAGAATTATTTAGTCTCACAACCCAGTATATCTTCTTATATACAATTACATAAACAAAAACAATCTACCTCTCATAGTTACGTAACAAAATTTCTAACAGTGGAATAATTAGGTATTTCCTGATGTAATATTTTAAATATACTTAAAGTATTAATTAATAATTAATTAAAATTTAATTATTCAACTATAATTAAACCATAATTCTCTAGGAATTACAGCCATATTGAACCTTATCTCACTAGTACATGCGGGTTTGTTCTTGACTCACAATCCTGAGTCCCGGGTTCGAATCCTGAGAGGGGGAAGGGGGGGGGGAATGATTAGCTTCGTTTCCTTTCACCTATTCAGCTGTTCACCTTAGCAGTAAATAGGCAGCCGAGGAGTTAGTTATTGTGGGGTTTCACCCCTGTGGGGGGGGGGATATGGGGGGGGTGACCTTGATACAAGCCTAGTGTATATATACACACACGGGCTGCCTGTCCCAGAATTTTTTTTTAATTATTATTACTATCTGCACTGAGATAAGCAGCATGTAAATCATTCACCAGTGTCTAAATACAGGCACTAGCCTCGCTCTCTCAGCCAATCACGTCTCGGGGATTAGATAACCGATGATTAGGTTGCCAATCTTGCTTGCCAAGTCAACCCCGCTACTTAAGACACGGTTGCCATGAGAATTCAGCCCCATCAATAGATACCGTCGCCATGACAACCCAGAATCATCACTGTTACTATGACAACTTATCATTGACTAATAACACCAAAGTTGCCATAATAAGTTATATTAATGGGGTGGCCACGGAGGGTGAGAGAGAGGTAGGGGTGGCCAGGGAGGGTGAGAGAGAGGTAGGGGTGGCCAGGGAGGGTGAGAGAGAGGTAGGGGTGGCCAGGGAGGGTGAGAGAGAGGTTGGGGTGGCCAGGGAGGGTGAGAGAGAGGTAGGGGTGGCCAGGGAGGGTGAGAGAGAGGTAGGGGTGGCCACGGAGGGTGAGAGAGAGGTAGGGGTGGCCAGGGAGAGTGAGAGAGAGGTAGGGGTGGCCAGGGAAGGTGAGAGAGGTAGGGGTGGCCAGGGAGGGTGAGAGAGAGAGGTAGGGGTGGCCAGGGAGGGTGAGAGAGAGAGGTAGGGGTGGCCAGGGAGGGTGAGAGAGAGAGGTAGGGGTGGCCAGGGAGGGTGAGAGAGAGAGGTAGGGGTGGCCAGGGAGGGTGAGAGAGAGAGGTAGGGGTGGCCAGGGAGGGTGAGAGAGAGAGGCAGGGGTGGCCAGGGAGGGTGAGAGAGAGAGGTAGGGGTGGCCAGGGAGGGTGAGAGAGAGAGGTAGGGGTGGCCAGGGAGGGTGAGAGAGAGAGGTAGGGGTGGCCAGGGAGGGTGAGAGAGAGAGGTAGGGGTGGCCAGGGAGGGTGAGAGAGAGAGGTAGGGGTGGCCAGGGAGGGTGAGAGAGAGAGGTAGGGGTGGCCAGGGAGGGTGAGAGAGAGAGGTAGGGGTGGCCAGGGAGGGTGAGAGAGAGGTAGGGGTGGCCAGGGAGGGTGAGAGAGAGGTAGGGGTGGCCAGGGAGGGTGAGAGAGAGAGGTAGGGGTGGCCAGGGAGGGTGAGAGAGAGAGGTAGGGGTGGCCAGGGAGGGTGAGAGAGAGAGGTAGGGGTGGCCAGGGAGGGTGAGAGAGAGAGGTAGGGGTGGCCAGGGAGGGTGAGAGAGAGGTAGGGGTGACCAGGGAGGGTGAGAGAGAGGTAGGGGGTGGCCAGGGAGGGTGAGAGAGAGAGGTAGGGGTGGCCAGGGAGGGTGAGAGAGAGAGGTAGGGGTGGCCAGGGAGGGAGAGAGAGAGAGGTAGGGGTGGCCAGGGAGGGTGAGAGAGAGGTAGGGGTGGCCAGGGAGGGTGAGAGAGAGAGGTAGGGGTGGCCAGGGAGGGTGAGAGAGAGAGGTAGGGGTGGCCAGGGAGGGTGAGAGAGAGAGGTAGGGGTGGCCAGGGAGGGTGAGAGAGAGAGGTAGGGGTGGCCAGGGAGGGTGAGAGAGAGGTAGGGGTGGCCAGGGAGGGTGAGAGAGAGAGGTAGGGGTGGCCAGGGAGGGTGAGAGAGAGGTAGGGGTGGCCAGGGAGGGTGAGGGAGGGTGAGAGAGAGAGGTAGGGGTGGCCAGGGAGGGTGAGAGAGAGAGGTAGGGGTGGCCAGGGAGGGAGAGAGAGAGAGGTAGGGGTGGCCAGGGAGGGTTCACAAGGCCACCAACCACCACCACACCACCGGCTGCACCCTCCAGTGTGTGTGTTCACTGCTCACAGTCACCACCTCCCTACACCCCGTCACAATATACCTCACCAGGTATAGTATACCACAACAGGTGTGGGTGTAGACTCACAGTATACCCGAGTATACTGACCTTCACATATATACCCAGCCCGCCATGGCAACACAGCCTAATACCTCTCCTACTTCAGCTTTAGTTCACGTTTAGTTCCATAATATTTCACCGTTGTGTAAAGTGACGCTTGTGTATTAAGTGTATCTTCGTAAGTGTGTATACCCAGGTGTGTAAAGTGTGTCTTCACATGTGTTAAGTAATTGTTTAAGTGGTTGTTCTCAGGCGGTTGTCAAGTGGTTCCTTGTCCTCGTCTCCTGCTAGTTCAAGGCCTTAAACATTTTTTAAGTCAGAACTTTACACATATACATACAATTATTTATTGTATCTCGTATATAAGTAACGCCTATAAGATATGTGGATCCGTTTATATAAATATATTATATAATATATACATGTAGCAGTGTGATATTTTAGCTCAAGTCTTGAATGAGTGTTTCAGCTGCTCTTAATACATATGTATAGAGTATACATATATACTCTACACATATACACACACATGTGTATAACATGTGTGTGTATAGTGCATATACTACTTACAGTCGAGCACGTATAAGCACTATACATATTTTTGGGCGTTGGGTATAGGCTATATAAAATATTAATTGTAAATATTATTAATAATAATATATTTCAAATTTGCATGGAATTATTTGCAGCTTCGCGGTTGCTAATAAGTTGCAACTGTGACTTGTAGCCTATGTATATGCAGGGATATACATGTTAAGTGACCTTAATTACTTTATACTTGTATATACATATATTCCACGGAAGTAGTGACCCATGCACCAGGTCATATTATACGAAAATAAAGTATAGTTCTTAGGCCAAGATAAGACTTTTGTCTATTTTTGAGGCCGTCTATGATGGCCGTTCTCAAAATTCAAATTTGTATTGAGGTGAAAGTATTGCAATTTGAATTTGAATTTGACAGGGTCGTTGGTGTGTGGGTATTGATGGAGTTGTAGTGTCCTGGTGGTGCGGGGGGGTTGAAGTTTAGCTCCTGGGCCCCGGGACTGTGAGTGGGGGTTGCCGGGGTCACTGATAAGATTATATAAGAGGAACTGTTGCTGACTGTAGTGATCTCTCTCTTTCTTTATCTGTTCGGCTTCCCTTCCGCTATCTCTTCCTCTTCCATGGTGCCGTCTCTTCTCTTCCCATTGTACCGTCTCCCGTCTCCTCCTTCCCTGCATACTCTTCTGTCTCCTTCTTCCATTATTACCTCTTTTGTCCTTTATTCTGCCTCCTCTCCTGCCGCCCAACCTGTTCCGTCTCCCTCTCCTCTCTCTCTCCCACCTCTACCCTCTCTCTCTCCCACCTCTCTCTCTCTCCCACCTCTGCCCTCTCTCTCTCCCACCTCTGCCCTCTCCCACCTCTGTCCTCTCTCTCTCCCACCTCTACCCTCTCTCTCTCCCACCTCTCTCTCTCTCCCACCTCTCTCTCTCTCCCACCTCTGCCCTCTCCCACCTCTGTCCTCTCTCTCTCCTCTCCCTCCCACCTCTCCCATGAGCCCCAGGAGCGGGGGTGACAGCCAGCCAGGAGGCGGGGCAGCCAAGCAAGCCTCACCACCACCTGTAATATCTCCACACTCCTCTACTCTTCACACACACACAAACTCACTATAAATGGCCGTCCACACTAACGTGGACCCAGAATCAGCTCTTGATACTGGTAAATGGCTCAAAAGGGCCACCACTTACGGGCTATTCAGGCCCGTGCCACCTTTTGGATGGCTTAATCTTCATCAATCATCATAACGTGGACCTAAACATGCCATTCACCGGGGCTGTGGCGGGGTCTCGAACCCTCGACCACACCTGTGTGTGTGTGTGGACATTCTTGTGCAACAGTAATATGCTAATTTAATCGGCGTTAATCCATCATACAAACAAAATGATGTGTATATATGTATGATTTACCTGATCTACCTGAAGGGGGCATTAACCCTAATAGCCTCGACGAGGACAGCAAGCCAGCGGCTTGTCGAAGTTGCCTCTCTCTCCCCCTAGCCTATTACAAGTGATGATCTCATCTTCTCTCCCAGCTAGCGACCAATGAATGACCTAACCGTCGACAATAAGCTATAACCACTGTGTTATAGTTGTTCAACCCATCGTCTCCTTTACTGAACAAAGCACAAAGTTATTGTGAACAAATAGTGTAGTGTCACAAGCTATATTGTGTTATGCCCGTCACGCTATGCCTAATTGGGCAGTTAGTTTCTCTAAAGAAAACTTCTTTGCCTCTTAAGTAACCACTTAGAGATAACACATAAATAGAAATAAAAGATTACACAGTGAGATGCCCATTATTTCATTAACACATTAACTTTAAAATCCCATTAACTTGATGTATCAGTGAAAACATCATTGGTTGTGTGTTTGAAATCAAATTGTCCTTGCATGATTTGCTGTTAGCGCTCACGGGGACATTACTAGGGCCATGGAGGGGACATTACTAGGGCCATGGAGGGGACATTACTAGGGCCATGGTGGCCCATACATCACTAGGGCCATGGTGGCCCATACATCACTAGGGCCATGGTGGCCCATACATCACTAGGGCCATGGTGGCCCATACATCACTAGGGCCATGGTGGCCCATACATCACTAGGGCCATGGTGGCCCATACATCACTAGGGCCATGGGAGGAGTGTGAAGGGATATCAAACAAGACGGCTCTTATAGCTTCATTTCACATGTTTTCTCAACTCTGGCATTTCCTTTCCAGATGGGTTGGTTGAAGAAGGTGTTGGTGGGGTTATTGGTGCTGTGGGTGGCCCACAAGATTGGCCAGAAGCTGCAGGAACCCCCTCTCCCCAAGCTGGACCCCAACCCATGGTGGGGTCCAGGCCAACCACAACAGGAAGATGTCTCCATCAGAAGGTTTACCATCAATGTGCCCGAGCAGGTATAAGGACCATGGGCAGTGTAATAGTAGTCACGACTTTGGAACATATTGTACCATGACAAGGGTATTATTCCTTGGCACAGATGGTATGGAGATTCATGGTTGGACGGTGGTATTTCACTGTGCACGGCGGTACTTCACTGTGGATGGTGGTACTTCACTGTGGATGGTGGTACTTCACTGTGGATGGTGGTACTTCACTGTGGATGGTGGTACTTCACTGTGGATGGTGGTACTTCACTGTGGATGGTGGTACTTCACTGTGGATGGTGGTACTTCACTGTGGATGGTGGTACTTCACTGTGGATGGTGGTACTTCACTGTGGATGGTGGTACTTCACTGTGGATGGTGGTACTGTACTTCACTGTGGATGGTGGTACTTCACTGTGGATGGTGGTACTTCACTGTGGACGGTGGTACCTCACTGTAGACAGTTGTACCTCACTGTGAACAGTGGTACCTCGCTGTGGACAGTAGTACCTCACTGTGGACAGTGGTACTCTACTGTGGACAGTGGTACCTCAATGTAGACAGTGGTACTCTACTGTAGACAGTGGTACCTCAATGTAGACAGTGGTACCTCAATGTAGACTGGGGTTGACTGTAGACATTAGCATATCTTATATTATAAATATTTCCATGTGAATAAATGTTGTGTGGTTGGCAGGACTTGGCGGACTTCAAGGCCCGGCTGGCCCTGCCCCTGCGGTCGACCCCAGGACTGGAGGGTGCCAACTTCACCTACGGCATGACCGCTGACACCCTACAATCAGTCGTCCAATACTGGAGGGAACACTATGACTGGCGCCAGAGGGAGAAGAAACTCAATACGTATCCCCACTTCAAGTAAGACCTGAGTTACAGGCTAAATTTTAATATTTATGAAACTTTTTCACTTGGTAGGAAACTACAGTATTAGGATTAAAAATGTTCACCCAAGCCAACTGCTGACCTTCCTCAGGATGAAATTACTAGGTGAACAGATCTCAATTAGTATTATAATCAATTAGTATATAATAATCTCAATTAGTATTAAGTTTTAGTCTTTAATGTTTTTCCTGCCCGAAACGCTTTGCGTAATAGTGGCTTTAGGCATTGTATGTACTAGCTCTATCTATAAATCTATCAATTTTTGTAAAACCTCTTGTATGTACAGTATGTACTTTACCTGAATAAACATTTATTTATTTATATTATTTATAAGGTGTAAGGAAATGCACTCAAATATCTCTCGCTTGCCAAGAAAAGTGAGACCAGGCCCAGGCAGCTATGAGGTGGTTGTGGGTAACCACTGTTATGAGGGATATGGGTCTGAGGCTGGGTGCTTGGAGGCATGTCCCACATCACTGTGATTAGCCTTAATGAGAACCTCAAGAAACTGAGTGCGTGAGGTTCAAGGTGGTGGTGATGGCAAAGGGCCACTATATGCCAGTCATTCAGTCAGTCAGGCTAAGCAATGGGTGTGTGTGTAGTAACAAGATGGGTGACCATTCCCTCATCCTTGTCTTGGAAGATCTCTACAATAAGTTTTCCTGTACATGAGTTTCTTAATTTGTTAATAATAATTCTCAGTTAAAAGACAGGCAGCCAGTATATATACACATGTTAGGCTTACAGTATATCCAACATTATGTTTGTAACTCATCTTCTATGCATGTACCTTTACCTGAATAAAAAAATCTAAAAATACAGTACAGTATAGAGGTCTGACCAAGGTTGAACTACTGACTCTTTCCCAGAATACCACTCCACAACAGCCTGACTAACTCCTGGGTACCTATTTACTGCTAGGTGAACAGGTGCATTAGATGACAGGAAACACGCCCAACCATTTCTGTCCCGTCTGGGATTTGAACCCAGAAGTCTTGACTGTAAGTCGAGAAGTAACCCGAGTACAGACACGGTGAAGTTTGGTGTGTAAGTAAGCCAAGAGATAATTATGAACCATAGTTATTAACATGCACAGTTACATGTATGTAGCCACATACATGCTTTAACATGTATGTGGCTACATTTTGTAAGGAATTCAACCATCTTTTGATTTAAGTTTCAGAAAGTCATTCTGCTTAGAGCAAAGATTATGACGGTATCATTCATGTGGATATGTTGACTCATGGTGAGAGAGCAAGTTAGCTTGGGGCGGGCTCTGGGATTTACATATGACTAATGAGGGGGTACAGCTGGAACTGGGGAGGGGGGTACAGCTGGACCTGGGGAGGGGGGTACAGCTGGACCTGGGGAGGGGGGTACAGCTGAACCTGGGGAGGGGGTACAGCTGTATTTGGGGAGGGGGGTACAGCTGGACCTGGGGAGATGGGGGTACAACTGGACCTGGGGAGATGGGGGTACAACTGGACCTGGGAAGATGGGGGTACAGCTGGACCTGGGGAGGGGGGGTACAGCTGGACCTGGGGAGGGGGGGTACAGTTGGACCTGGGGAGGGGGGGTACAGTTGGACCTGGGGAGGGGGGGTACAGTTGGACCTGGGGAGGGGGGGTACAGCTGGACCTGGGGAGGGGGGTACAGCTGGACCTGGGGAGGGGGGTACAGCTGGACCTGGGGAGGGGGATACAGCTGGACCTGGGGAGGGGGGTACAGCTGGACCTGGGGAGGGGGGGTACAGTTGGACCTGGGGAGGGGGGGTACAGTTGGACCTGGGGAGGGGGGTACAGCTGGACCTGGGGAGGGGGGGTACAGCTGGACCTGGGGAGGGGGGTACAGCTGGACCTGGGGAGGGGGGTACAACTGGACCTGGGAAGATGGGGGTACAACTGGACCTGGGGAGGGGGGGTACAGCTGGACCTGGGGAGGGGGGGGTACAGCTGGACCTGGGGAGGGGGGGTACAGCTGGACCTGGGGAGGGGGGGTACAGCTGGACCTGGGAAGGGGGGTACAGCTGGACCTGGGGAGGGGGGTACAACTGGACCTGGGGAAGGGAGGTATGTACACCTACTCTATATTTCTCCATGAACCTAAATGTGACTATCTCATCAACATTCACCTAAGACATTTGTAACATTTCAGGACCCGCATAGAAGGTTTAGACATCCACTTCATGCGTGCCAGTGCCAAGGTAGGAAGTGCCAAGAATGTCAAGACGGTGCCCCTCCTGCTGATCCACGGGTGGCCAGGATCCTTCGTCGAGTTCTATGACATCTTGCCGCTACTCACGCACCCACAGGAAGGCAGTAATGTGGTGTTTGATGTCATCTGTGCTTCCATCCCTGGCTATGGTTTCTCCCAGAGCTCCTCTAAGCAAGGTAATTCAACGGAAGCTCTACCATCTACAGGCATCTTTTTCTAACTGTGAAATACAACCATATTTAAAAGTTACAAACTGCCAAAGACAGGACTACTGTCAACCACAGATATAGCATATAGTATATAGCATATAGTATATGCTAAAATTTAAACAAATTTAAGCACTTCATTTGTTAAGGAAACTAACAATTTCACATTCTGGTGGGGTCCCATTTATGCTACCTTTCTCACTGTGTCTTTAGCCGCTCACTCAATGATGCATCAAACATTCACTCATTTTCTGTTTGTAATGTCAATTACAGGACTAGAACATTGATTTTGGTATCCAATTGGTCCAAAAAAATTATATATATATTTATATTTATACAGTATATATGATCACATCTCTTTCATGGTGAAAAAATTACAAATTCACTTTTTGGGGGACAAGTAAATTAAAATAATGTATTTTTATGCAAATGACAGGTTTTGGTGTTCTTGAGACTGGTCAGGTGTTCTTGAAGCTAATGAAGAGGTTGGGCTTTGAGCAGTTCTACCTGCAGGGTGGTGACTGGGGTGGCTTGATTGCCTCGAACATGGCCACCATGTACCCTGATAAGTGAGTACTGCTGTCTATCCTGACCAATGAGTTCTACCATTCTCTTCTGCCCACCCATCTTCCTCTCTGTCTACTCCATCATATAAGTACACTTAACAGTGGGTACAGTGCCACTCACTACATCTTATGTGTAGTAAGATAATTACTGTCTTGTATTTTTCACTGGACAGTACTGTAATCTTAAAAAGGAAAGCCTTGATTGCCAGCCAACTATCTGCAGATTCTGCAACCTGTCCTCTCACATAATGTACTACATTTTGACATCAAGATCCCTAAATGGCACTATAAATCATAGCGACACACAAACATTCACATTTTCTAATGTGTGGTCAATAGGTTAGGTTAGATTTGAGTGTTTTAGTACACCAGTTTCTGACCGTTGAGCAGCTCGAGAGGACGGGCTGGAGTGATAGTAATCCAGCCTGTTCTTGTGAGTGTTCCCAAGACAATCGGCTTGCACTTTGATTAATATATGGCATTAATTATAGCAGTTCTTATACAATAGCTTACTGTGACTGACTTTATTTACATCTTTAATTAGTTTTCTGCTTTATATAAATTTTTGTTGACAAATATTAGCTTTATAACTTTTTTATGCATAATGTTTTTTCTTCAGTATTTTAGGGGTCCATTTGAATATGTTTATGGTGAACACCTTGGGAGTGAACTTGAAGACGATGCTGGGAGCGTTCCTGCCCGCCGGGCTAGTGGTGGCTCGGGAGGACCAGGCCAAGCTGTACCCACTTACCAACTTGTACTCCATGATACTCCGGGAGTCTGGCTACTTGCACATACAGGCCTCCAAACCCGACACTATTGGTAGGTATTTGTTATTTTTTTGGGTATATTTCCATTGTGATTTGACTTGCTTCTAACGTCTTGAATTTGGTCACATTTCATCACACGGTGATGCAAGGTTTATAGTTTTCGTGACAGCTTACATTTGGTCAGGCCTACATCGGCAGGTGATGCGGGCACAGAAAACCTGACCTCCTTAGGTAAGGCAGCTCCAGTCAACAAGGAGTTCAGGTGAATGTAGTACCTGCCATTATTTATACAGTTAATATTTTGGTCTCTGAGGATTGTATAGCTGTGCTTCTTGGACCAACTTGAGCAGTGTTAGTGTGGTCATACTCTTGTGAACATTGATCACCTCTAATTAGTGTCTACACAAGTAAGATGGTATAAAGCATACAATTGGGTATGACAATGTGCTTACAATGTAGTGTCTACACAAGTAAGATGATATAAAGCATACAATTGGGTATGACAATGTGCTTACAATGTAGTGTCTACACAAGTAAGATGGTATAAAGCATACAATTGGGTATGACAATGTGCTTACAATGTCGGTGCATAAGTAAACTGCTGCACTTTGAATAAGACTGTAAGATGTACTGCACTGGTGGCAGGGAAATCTTTAAGTGCTAAGAACACTTGCCACCTTATTTGTATATTTCTCCTCAATCTTCAGTACCGTTTAGTGTAAAAATAGCAAAGTTGTTGAAAATATACCAGTTGAACTTCCTGGTACATTATTAACCATATCCTTGTATAGAGGATATCCTTGTATCCTTGTACTCAAGAGATCCAAGTTTAATCTCCAGTCGGGACAGAAATGGTTGGGCCATGTTTCTTTTCACATGATGCCACTGTTCACCTAACAGTAAAAGAAGTACCTGGGAGTTTGATAACTGTTGTACGGTGCATCCTAGGGAGGGTCAGTAGCTGGCCTAGGAGGATGTGGATAAGCCTAATTATAGGCTTCCTGTCCCCAACAACGAGAATAATTATTATTTAGCACCCAATTTCCATGCCACGTTTCCAGGTGCTGCACTGAACCAGAATCCAGTCAGTCTTGCGGTGTACATCTTGGAGAAGTTCAGCACCTGGACCCACAAGGACAACCCTAACAAACCAGATGGTGGACTCCTCGGCAAAAACTTCCCAATGTCCCTAGATGATATGTTGGATAATATCTGCATTTACTGGTAAGTCTACACTGTTAGATAAGGCTGTCTTTACTGATAAATATTGGAATCATGTTCTCACTTCTTCCACTTTAATAGTGGGAAGGCACTCGCCTGGGAAGAGTGTACGAGAAGTGTAGGAAAATCCAGAGCAATACGCCTTTCATCACCGTTTCTAGCTTCAAAAATTCTTTAAACATTCACAACAATATTTTGACTCTTTCATTGACTAGGTGTAAAGTACTTGATGTGATTGGTCGCTTCACTCATATAAGAGGCAACAAGAGACTTGGTGCTTTCTCCTCATAATTACCTTACTTATAAAATAGACAACAGGAGATTTTTTCACCCATGAGGTATGAAGCTCATGGACCCCCACATACCTGTGAAGCTGTAAAAACTAGCATAGTTCTATAATTCAGTATACCTGGTATAGTACTGAACTGTACAACTTCACAAACTAAACAGTTAGAATGTGACATTCTGTCCACAAGCACCAGCTTTGTCTCCTTATGTTGAAAAATGTAAGCCACTAGAGATAGTGGCTAACAGGTTCCCACCATAGCAGGCACTGGGGATCATGATCAGCAGGTATATACTCTACAAGTACTAGTATGACAATTAGAGCTAGCAGCCGAGTGAGCCACCTAGCAACCAGCGAGAGCACTGCTTGACAGTCCCTGTGATGCAAAGTTGATCGTGGAAGGGCTTGAGTGGTGTATATTATATTCTTTGTTGTATATTCAGTGTATATTAATGAACTTTCTAAGAGATCATTTTGGGATATTTAGTATTTAGTGTTTCACTTTACCAGTATTACTTAAAATGTGTGTTTGAAAAGATCGTGGCTGTGCCAGTCTGAATGATGAATGGAATGGTGATCTATCCTGACTGTATATAGTCATATCCATGGGGACAGCAGGACCTTGTCTAAGATAGCAGCCGAGAATCCTGCTCGTAAAGAAACTATTCACATAAAGCCTTATTTTTGCGTGTTGTACTGTATGTGGTTATTCAAATTCAATTTGTTTTGTATGTGTAGGTCTAGACATCTTCCTGGTACTGTATCATGCCTACAATTGGAGTGTTATTTATTCTTAGATCTATTAGGGTGTTTTTAAGATATTTATGTTTTGTTAATGCTTAGTTGGCTAACCACACATGGATTTTCTTTGAGTTTCGTTACATTGTGTGTTTTGTGGTTGTCACCATGCAGTGCACAAGTGTGTGATTTATGAATGAATCATATTCTCCTTGCAGGTTCACCAATTCCATTACAACCAGTGTCCGCTTCTACTCTGAGAACATGAACCAAAAGTTTATCAGCAGAGGATTAGACAAGTAAGTTACAGTTGTCTTTATTTAGTTTTGAATGCAATGTAACTAGTTATGGTATCACAAAACTTAGGAACAGCTAAGATTTCCTAAAGGCAGATTTTGCTAGGGCCAATTTGCTAATGGAAATAAGTTAAGGATATTTGTTGATGCACAATCTGATGTGATTAGTTTTGATATCCATATAAATGGTGGTACAGTGGTTATGTCTCTCTCTCTCTCTCTCCACAGTAACCCGTGTCGTGTGCCAGCCGGCTTGGCCGCCTTCCCACAGGAGCTTATGAGCCAGCCCAAGAACTTTCTTGCACACAAATACTACAACATTGTCAGTTATAAGTAAGGAAATACAAGATATCTTTACCCAAGTTGTGTAATGTCGTATTAACTTTGTAATATCTTAAGTTAACGGAAGCTGCATATTTTTGTACAAATTATGTTGCATATTGGATATCTCTTAAGCATATCAAATATATATTTTGTGAAGTCTTTGGTAACTGTGAGCTTCAGTTTATTGGAAATAGGTTTGCTTTTAACCTGATGGTTTGTTCCATTTTAAAATAAAAATATAGGAATAATTTTATGTTTATAGTAGGATAAAAACCCACACGTATATATTTATGAAATGTATTTAAAGATTTACACCAAGAAGTCTCTCTCTCGCACTCCTGAGTACTTTGTCAAGGTCTGAGTGTGTGATTAAAATGAGACTTACATTTCAACAACTAATGCTCAATGGGTAGTAGTCGTTGAGATGTAAGTTTCATCCTAATCACACACTCGGAACTTGACAAAGCACTCAAGAGAGTGTGGAAGACTTCTTGGTGTAAGTCTTTACATAAATTTTACAAATACATAAGTGTGGGTTTTTATCCTATGTTATTATGTCAATGAGAAGACATTACCATTACATAATGTTTATCAAGTGCATAACCATATGACTTATTAGTTTAGTTCATTTATTATGTACCCTGTACCCATCCTGTGTGTGATAGTGAACTCCATACCCATCCTGTGTGTGATAGTGAACTCCATACCCATCCTGTGTGTGATAGTGAACTCCATACCCATCCTGTGTGTGATAGTGAACCCCATACCCATCCTGTGTGTGATAGTGAACTCCATACCCATCCTGTGTGTGATAGTGAACTCCATACCCATCCTGTGTGTGATAGTGAACCCCATACCCATCCTGTGTGTGATAGTGAACCCCATACCCATCCTGTGTGTTATAGTGAACCCCATACCCATCCTGTTTGTGATAATGAACCCCATACCCATCCTATGTGTGATAGTGAACCCCATACCCATCCTGTGTGTGATAGTGAACCCCATACCCATCCTGTGTGTGATAGTGAACTCCATACCCATCCTGTGTGTTATAGTGAACCCCATACCCATCCTGTGTGTGATAGTGAACCCCATACCCATCCTGTGTGTGATAGTGTCAACAGTCACAGGGGCACATAATGGGCTCAGGAACTCAAATTTCATTTGATTAAGCAAGTTGGTTTTGAGTAGCTAGTTAAACATTTTAATGTATAATAGCTTAATGTGTATATAATGGGGGTTCAAAAAGTCAATCACAACAGCATCTGTATCATATTATCAATGTATAATTAACTTATTACAATTGTCTTGTGTTTTTCCAGGTCATCTCTTGCAGAAATCTGTTTTCTTATAATTTTATAATACAGTATATTATTAACATTGATTTATTATGAATAATAGATGTTGTAGCAATAGCTGCAGTGATAGTAATAGTCTAGTTACTGATGCTACTCGGCCCCAATACTATCGCTAATTGAACTACCCTCTCGACAGTGAGCAGCCAGCTGGTGGACACTTCGCAGCTATGGAGCGGCCAGCGCTCCTTGCTGCGGATGTACATAAATTTGTCAGCAAGGTGGAGAAGACCACCTGAGTGTTGCACACTGGAGAAGGCCACTTGAGTGTTGCATTGCTCTGCCAACTCTTCGTCAGTCACAAAACTCGCAGCACGTGTAAAAACTCTGAACCTACAAGTGTACCATCTTCAGCTTCTCTACCATGTGACGACATATCGTCAGTTGCCACAACTATTCAATAAAAATTAAACACAACATCTTTTTTGTAGATCAAAACTTTTAATATAGAAGTAATTCCTGAAGGGGCAAAAAATTTTCTTTACATTATACACAGAATAATTAAAAACTAGTTCTTAAAAGAACTGATAGAAGAAAAGTTTATTTTTTCTGGTATAAATATGAAAGACAGTACAATATATTAAACAGTGAAATTGTTTTTGTTTCCTGTAATCCAACACCTCATTCTAGTTACAGGAATTTAATGGTAAACCCAGGTTTACTTTCTGTAATAAAGGTGAAATAATTTGCTTTGGTCATTGCAAAAAAGGAATAGAAAATAATTTTAAACAATTTACATGGTTTTAGTTAATTTTGTATACATCCCATACCAATTATTAATTACAGCTGGACCATACAGCGAGACCCCAATGGTCAAGGTATTTGATTACGGGCTATTCATCCCCATGCCCCCTCTTGGGTGGCTTAATCTTTATTAAGGTATTTGAATTTGTTGACAGTCAAGCTAGGAGCCATCATAAGTTGCATCTTGTGAACAGCTCCATGGCTGGGTGGGCTCCCATTTAGTATCTTTGTTTCTCTGCCAAGATTACTAAATGTACCCGTAGGCCCTGACGTGAGTCTAATATAGAGTGAAGTGTGGCCCCGAGTGATAACACGTCCAGTGGTATCTGCATAATGATGTCTTATTGGGTTTGCTAGGAAAAAAGTTTAGTAGCACATTTAGTAAAATATTAAATCTGGACACCTCCCTGTGGGGTGCCGAGTGTCTCTCGATACACTCCCATGCTCCTGGAACACTCCTATGTTATGCTTGATACACTCCTATACTTATTAGGGATAAGCAACCTCTGATCCAACAAAGAAGCCAACCAACGGTATTCGTTCTGGAAAGTTCACTCAAAATGACATGTTGGTTTGCAATATCATCAGACATCTGCCTGGGATGATATCAAGAGTCCCAGGCAGAAGTCTGTTGAGGGGGGCAGACTAAGGTCTGTAACGGTTCTATTGTTACGTAAAGTATGGTGACAAATAAACACAGACACTAAGATACTATATATATATTTGGTCGAATATACAGAAGTACACAGGTGATACTTTGGTGTGAGTTGAGCGCACTGAGCGTCGGTACAGTATCTCGCAAGTGTCTGCTCTAGACCACACTTGAAAGTAGACTAGTTAATGTTCGCTACACCGCTGCTTATATTGCTCGGGCATCTCACCGTGTTGCCCGGGCAACGCCTCACCTCATTCATCTCCAAAGGTTGACAGGAACATTAACACTATATTTGGAGCGAGTATATTATTGGGATAATCTACTCGCTACAGAACTCCCCCTCCCAGGGGATGAAAGGAAAAATACTTGATCAAGGAACTTAGCTGGTCGGTGAATTGTACGCCCTGCTCGCGTTACATAACCATCAAAGTTAACTTCCTCCTCTTCGCTGATGTCATCTAACTGGGGTCGTAGGGTGGGAGGTCGCACAGGATCGTCCGTTGTCGTAGGATCAGGTTGTGGTGCGGCTGGTAACTGGGGTCGAAAAGTGAACTGCGTAGTCGGCGGATGTGTCTCTGGATTTAGCAGTGTCGCAGACGTTGAGACGAAGCCTGGAGCAGAGCAGAGAGCTGAGTGAGGCCGGAGTCGTGGAGCTCTATGTGGGAGAGCGTGGCGGCTCGATTGAGATTTGTGAGTGTCTAAACTCGGGGAGCGAGAGCGTGGCGGCTCGATGCGGTCGTAGTCTGCTGTCTGCTCTGTGTCGAAGCTGTAGCGTCTTGGGTTGATTAGGACTGTACACGCCGAGTACTACATTGTTGACTGTGGAAATTGTACACGCCGAGTACTACATTGTTGACTGTGGAAATTGTAGTCTGGTACCAAAAGATGTAGGCAGTGTGTGGACAAGCTCGGTGTAGCAGGAGAGAAGAATGTGCATAATTGTTGCGTCCTTGGGTCGCTGGTGGAGCATTTAGATCCGGGGCGGATGGGCTCGGGCACCAGGACATTAGGAGGTAATGTAGGCACGTAGTTAGGACAACGAGGTAATTACTGCTAGAGCTGAATTGTCCTGGAGGCGACGAAGAGTCGGAAACGCAAGCTGTAAGTCCTGTACTGCGCATAGTGCTTGAGTCGGCAGAGTATCAGAATGCAGTGAACGTGTAGATGAATCTGACGAAAGAGCAGCTTTCGTGGACGCCCCTGTAGAACAAGCAGTGCCCTGGCAGCGACGGAGAGTCGGCAGGACAGGCTGTAAATCACACATTATGTAGTTACTGATGAAGCTGCCAGATGAGTGAGTAGTGATCGTGGAGCAGCAAGCCGTAGTAGATGAAAATGCAGAGACGATCGCGATGAAAATCATAGCTATGGCAAGGGTGTTGGCAACGTTCCATGACAGGTGGCTGCGGTCCACAGCAAGCAGCAGCAGTGGAGGTCCAGTGAGAGTCCATGTTGTAGTCCATCGTGGCTGGGTATCGTCGAAACTCTCTGGGGTCACCAATGTAACGGTTCTATTGTTACGTAAAGTATGGTGACAAATAAACACAGACACTAAGATACTATATATATATTTGGTCGAATATACAGAAGTACACAGGTGATACTTTGGTGTGAGTTGAGCGCACTGAGCGTCGGTACAGTATCTCGCAAGTGTCTGCTCTAGACCACACTTGAAAGTAGACTAGTTAATGTTCGCTACACCGCATCTCACCGTGTTGCCCGGGCAACGCCTCACCTCATTCATCTCCAAAGGTTGACAGGAACATTAACACTATATTTGGAGCGAGTATATTATTGGGATAATCTACTCGCTACAGGTCCATGACAGGAATCACAGCTAGTGACTCCTGCCACCAGAAAGGTCCTAGGCAGGACTCCCAGGCATGAGAGGCTGAGGAAGGATCAGCTGGAGAGGTCCCAAGCAGGAGTTCCAACAATAAACTACTCGTGGGATTTATTTATTTATTTATTTTATTTATTTATGCATATACAAGAATGTACATAAGGAATGTGAGGATACAATTATGGTAATTACAGTCTTGTAAAGCCACTAGCACGCGCAGCGTTTCGGGCAGGTCCTTAATCTAAGAAAATTTTAAGGAGGTAAATACTTGCAAAATTTATAGACAAAAAAATGATAACAGATTACATGGAATGAAAAAAAAAATGAGAGAAAATTATAGGTACAGTATATTAAAGCACATAGATAGCTATGATTGATTGCAATGACAGCTTGAATGGTAGTTGACAAAAATTGGTAGTCACAATACAGCATATGGCTAGCACATAAAAGAAGACAGCAATGAACACAATGATAAGGTTGTTTGATATTACATAAAAATTATGAGATTGGGTACCACTAGGTACAGAGCAAATTTAAAGCTCAGTGTAGGAAACTAAATAGATGAAGTTAGGTACTTTTTGGTTTTGCTTTTAAATAAGGCAAAAGTTTTACAGTTTTTCAATTCACTAGGGAGTGAGTTCCATAGACTAGGTCCCTTAATTTGCATAGAGTGTTTACACAGATTAAGTTTGACCCTGGGGATATCAAAGAGATATTTATTTCTGGTGTGGTGATAATGGGTCCTATTACATCTGTCCAGGGAGAGTTTCAGAGCATGGTTTGCATTTAAGAACAGGGTTTTGTAAATGTAGTTGACACAAGAGAATGTGTGGAGGGAGTTAATATTTAGCAAGTTTAGAGATTTAAACAAGGGAGCTGAGTGTTGTCTGAAAGCAGAGTTAGTTATTATTCTGATAGCAGATTTTTGCTGTGTGATGATGGGCTTAAGGTGGTTTGCAGTGGTAGACCCCCATGCACAGATACCATAATTAAGATAAGGGTAGATTAGTGCATAATATAGTGAGAGGAGAGCAGAGTTAGGAACATAATATCTGATTTTGGAGAGTATACCAACTGTCTTAGAGACTTTCTTAGTTATGTGTTGAATGTGGGTGCTGAAGTTGAGTCTCTTGTCTAGGAATAGGCCAAGAAACTTGCCATCATTTTTATTACTGATGTTAATGTTGTCTATCTGTAGCTGAATTGCATTTGATGATTTGCTTCCAAATAAGATGTAGTAAGTCTTTTCGATGTTTAATGTTAGTTTGTTCGTTGACATCCATAAGTGGACTTTTTTTAATTCATTATTCACAACATTATTTAGTGTATGTGGGTTGAGGTTTGAGTAGATAAGGGTAGTATCGTCAGCAAACAATATAGGTTTGAGAATATTAGAGACATTAGGCAGATCGTTTATATATATAAGAAATAGAAGAGGTCCTAAGATGCTGCCCTGTGGCACTCCAACGGTAATTGGTAGAGTGGAAGAAGTTGTATCATTGATGGTTACATATTGGTGTCTGTCACTAAGATAGGATCGGATGTAGTCAAGGGCAAGGCCTCGGATTCCATAATGCTGGAGTTTAAGTAAGAGGTAGTTGTGATTAACAGTATCAAAGGCTTTTCTTAGGTCAATGAAGAGTCCAATCGGAAACTCATTTTTGTCAAGGGCTGAGTAGATAATGTCAAGGAGACTAATGATTGCATCATTGGTACTCTTTTGGGACCGGAAGCCAAACTGGCAGGGGCTGAGTATGTCGAATTTTACGAGGTAGGAATAGAGCTGTTTGTAAATAATTTTTTCAAATATTTTTGATAGAATGGGTAGATTTGATATTGGTCTATAATTGTTTATGTCCGCCGGATTGCCTCCTTTATGGACTGGCGTTACTCTTGCTTTTTTGAGGATATCAGGGAAGGTGTGACACTCTATAGATTTGTTGAACAGTAGTGCTATGGGTGGGGCAAGGGCATGGGAGGCTCTCTTGTACACAATGGACGGAATTTCACTGGTGTTCCCTGCCTTGGTTTTTAGAGAGTGTATGATGGACACAACATCTGCCGGGCTGATTGGTGAAAGGAGAAGAGAGTTTGGATAGCTGCCTGAGAGATATGTGTTAATATGTGTCTGAGTCTGTGGGATTTTACTGGCAAGATTAGCACCAACCGATGAAAAGAAACTATTAAATTCATTTGCCATTTCTAAATCAGTTGACGGTATATCCCCATCCTTGTAGAGTTTTATTTGGTTATGTGAGTGTTGTTTAGTTCCTAGGATACTAGAGATAGTTTTCCAAGTGTTTTTCATGTTGCCTTTTGCTTCATTGAATCTATTCACATAATATGCAAGTTTTGCCTTTCTTATGATACTGGTAAGCATTGATGAGTACCTTTTAGCTACTTCCTTTGAAACTAGGCCAATCCTAACTTTCTTTTCATATTCATGTTTCTTGTTGATTGAGTTGAGAATGCCACTTGTGAGCCATGGATTGTTTAATCTTTTGTCAGTTACTTGCTTTGTAAGAAGGGGACAATGAAGGTTGTAGAGGCTTAGAGTTTTGGAGAGGAAGAGGTTAGCTAATGAATTTATATCATGGGTATTATTGAATTCAGAATCCCAGTTAATATTGTGAAGTGCCTCTGTAAGATTGTCTAAAGCTGATTCACTGTGTAGCCTAAATGAAAGTTTCTTGCTTTTTGGTGGTGTTATGTCCATGTTCGCTATGAGAAAGGTAGGATAGTGGTCAGTTGTTCTGTCGTAGATTATACCAGATACAAGGGGAGCTGTTATATTTGTCCATATGTGGTCCAAGGTAGTGGCTGATGTTTGAGTGACTCGGGTAGGTTTGGTGATAGTGGGGATTAGCATACAGGAGTTCATGCTGTTAAGGAAATAGTCAACTTGAGAGCAGTTTTGTTGACCCAGGTCAATATTAAAGTCTCCTCCCAGAATGATTATAAAGGAGTGCACAAGAAACTACTGCTCTCGGAATGAGTATGAGGCACAGACTATTGATTACAGGATGAGTATGGGGTGTGCAATGTATTACCAGTCACAGGATGAGTATGGGGTGCACAATATGCAATACATGTACTACTATTCGGTCCGTCTAATTACCACACGCTACCACAAGCTACACAAGCTTCAGAAAGCTTCCTGGCAATACGTTAGTAATGAATAAGTATGATATATTTACTCATTATAATGTTGGTGCTGAATGTACAACACGAAAAAACATAATTTTAATCTGAAAAAGTATCTTTTTATAGACGAAAATAAAAAGCTGGTGACGCCAAATAAAGTCGACGATCCAAGCGTCGGTTAGGTTAGGTTTGGTTTGGTTAAGTTAGGTTAGGTTAGGATAGGATAGGTTAGGTCAGCCTAACCTAACATATCATATTTATTCATTACTAACGTATTGCCAGGAAGCTTTCTGAAGCTTGTGTAGCTTGTGGTAGCTTGTGGTAATTAGACGCGGACCCCTACCATTCACAGGATGGGTATGGAGTGCACAGTATACTACCATTCACAGTATGCATCTGAGGTGTACAATTAAGTATAATCACTTCTGGTGGCAATTAACATAGAGTACTTATTATCAAACTACTTGGAAATAATGTGGGTACTGCCCACGGAGGTGGGCATATGATGCCCTATGGGTAACACACACTTCTCTCACATTGAGATATTGAGCCTGTAACAACTTCATTAGAAATTATGTAGCAGTTCATTAAATATTCCAGGAATTCCACATACTGTACTACAAACAACATAAAGAAATTGCCCATCAACCAATTGTTGTAAACAGTCAAGTGGACGGGAATATAGGTCCATGTGCAGGCGATGAGTCACAATAACGTGGCTAAAGTATATTGACCAGACCACACACTAGAAGGTGAAGGGACGACGACGTTTCGGTCCGTCCTGGACCATTCTCAAGTCGATTGTGGAGTCGCCTGGACCATTCTCAAGTCGATTGTGGAGTCGCCTGGACCATTCTCAAGTCGATTGTGGAGTCGCCTGGACCATTCTCAAGTCGATTGTGGAGTCGCCTGGACCATTCTCAAGTCGATTGTGGAGTCGCCTGGACCATTCTCAAGTCGATTGTGGAGTCGCCTGGACCATTCTCAAGTCGATTGTGGAGTCGCCTGGACCATTCTCAAGTCGATTCAATATAGGTCCATCTGACCACAGTATCTCTGATCTACCTCAACCACCAGTATCATCATCTCTTACCAGCCTTCATCCCGCTAACCGTAACTGGTTAATGCTGCCAATGGCAATTTAGTCACACTTTATGTATACTGTAATGATAATAATACAAATCATTTTATTTGCAAGATGGTACAATGGGTTGGTGAGATTACATATGATTGCTATTTTTACAATCCTGCAAAGCCACTAATGTGCATAGCATTTTGGGCAGGTCCTTAATCTAACATATCAGGTAAGTTGAAAAGGTATATTGTAGCAAAATTTTATATCAACATATAACTATAATATAAATTGACAGAGATGATTACACTGATGAAGATACATGTCTCATTTGTCAATATAGTAGTTGTTGAAGTATTGTCAGGGGAAAGTGCTAAGCCAATGCAACTATGTTGCAACCCGTTCTCGCAAATTCGTAAAGTCAATATTGACTTATTAACTACGTGCATAGGTGATATACTAAACATAATAGATACCCTTAAAAAGATTCATAGAAAACACCGACCTTACCTAGCCTTGTTAGTATCTTAAGATAAGCATCTTATAGCTTCGTAATTACAATTATTACCTAACCTATAATAGGTATAGGTTAAGTAATAATTGTAATTACGAAGCAATAAGATGCTTATCTTAAGATACTAACAAGGTTAGGTAAGGTCGGTGTTTTCTATGAATCTTTTTAAGGGTATCTATTATGTTTAGTATATCACCTATGCACGTAGTTAATAAGTCAATATTGACTTTACGAATTTGCGAGAACGGGTTGCACTATATAGCACCGGGAAGGGATCAGAATAAGGATTTGGGATGGGATGGGGGAAAGGAATGGTGCCCAACTACTTGTGGACGGTTGGGGATTGAACGCCGACCTGCATGACGCGAGACGGTCACTCTACCGTCCAGCCCAAGTGGTTGATATGTGTCTATATTGCTTGGGCCACACACGTGGGGTCCGTGGTTTGAGTCTCCTAGAGCCCTGGTGAATTGAAGGTATATGTCTTAAGTATTAATACTGGGGATGTGGCTAGTAGAAGATAATGAGAGTTTGAAGCACAAGGTAGGAAACTACGAGGAGGAAATTAGGTACTTTTTGGTTTTACTTTTGAATAAGGCATAAGTTGGAATTTATAGACCCTTTACACAAACTGCATGTACCATCAAGAAGAAGAAGGCCTACTTTCAAGTTCAAGTATGTTTATTGAGATAAGAAAGAAATACATCTCAAAAGGATAGAGTAGCTTAGGCTATTTCTGCCCCCTTTATGGCCTACATTTAGGCACAGGTAGGTCTGTGCTTGGAAGAGAACTGCATTGAACTGGGACTTATTAATATCCTTGGCCTATACATAGACCTTCAATGTAGACCTTGGCTTATACATGTCCTTCAATATAGGATAGAAAACAGGAGATGCTGTTACACCCATAGGATTATAAACCCGTGGAACCGCCTACCCACCGAAGCCGTAAACGCCAAAACTCTGCTGTAAATATATAGCTCTTGAAATAGAACACTATGTAACTAGCTGACATTATAATTACAAGGTGTGAAGGATAGATGAAATTGTTAATGTAATAATCTCCGTTGAGGTCGTTGAAGACCTTTTGCGGTCCGTCTAATTACCACAAGCTTCACAAGCTTCACAAAGCTTCCTGGCAATACGTTAGCAATGAATAAATATGATATATTTACTCATTATAATGTTGGTGCTGAATGTACAACACGAAAAAACATAATTTTAATCTGAAAAAGTATCTTTTTATAAAGAAATTAGACGAAAATAAGTTGTTGGTGACGCCAAATCAAGTCGACGATCCAAGCGTCGGTTAGGTTAGGTTAGGCCAGGTTAGGTTAAGTTAGGTTAGGTTAGGTCAGCCTAACCTAACATATCATATTTATTCATTACTAACGTATTGCCAGGAAGCTTTGTGAAGCTTGTGTAGCTTGTGGTAATTAGACAGACCCTAGCCCATCATTAGTCAGCGAGAATCTCTTATCTTAAAATTATCTGTTAAGATTAAGGAGCCTATGGGTGCTAGTGGCTGTACAAGAATGTTAAAACTTCAATGCTATGTACCTCATAAACCAAATATACCTTCTTGTGTATATATATAAATAGATTAATAAAATAAATAAGTTACAGCATTGATAAGGATAAATAGCTTAGGATAATTGCCCGAAACGCTGCGCGTGCTAGTGGCTTTACAAGACTGTAATTACCATATTTGTATCCTCACATTCCTTATGTACATTCTTGTATATGCATAAATAAATAAATAAATAAATTAACATACTGTGATGGTTATAGTCAGATATAATGAGTGAAGGGCGAGTGGAAAAGTTCATTATTATTATTCCATTATTATGAGTGAATTATTAAATCATACATTTGATTTGATAATATATTATTATATTATTATTCTTAAGGGAGTGTTTGAGGGAGACGGTGTATAATGTTGTTGTGTTTCCCGCGTGAATGTGGCGGGAGCTGAAGCTGCCAGTGGCCTCCCTCGACACTCCCTGGTGAGTCTCTCTCTCTTTTTCTCTCCCTAGTGAGTCTCTCTCCCTAGTGGGTCTCTCTCCCTGGTGAGTCTCTTTCTTTTCTCTCCCTTGTTACACAATTGGTCTTGATGAATTGCTCTTCATCTATCCTATTACCGAGTGTACACTTGGGGTCGTGACCTGTACCAGTGCCCAGTTGGGTACTCTGTGCCGGTCTGACACTGGTCAGTGCCTTTCTGCTACTGGCGTGACAGTACCCAGTGATACCCCCTCGTGCCAGTCTGGGATTGTTCCCGGTCTGGTAATGCCCAGTCTACGCTGTGCCAGTCTGGGGGTTTGATTGGAAAGTATGGTGGGGGCTCCTGGTGGGGTACTGCATGCCACCCTAGGGTCATGCCTGAGCTGAGGCTACCCACCGTGGCGTCCCCTCACCCCTCGACCACCGCAGCTCATCAGTGATGCTTTATGGCATCCATTAGAATATATTTATACAAAAAATATGTATACTTGCTCAAGCAGGTGAGTTTTAAAGTTGTGTAATATTTAATAATATTGTTTATTTAACAGGGGAAATATTTGTATAATATAAATGAGTACAGATACTGCAATTTTGTACACCAGCAATTCTTCACTGGTTATTTCAGCTCTTAATTATACAATTTAAAAGTTTAATGCTTTGTATTTTGCAGTTATTTTACAGTGGCACTAGGCCATACTTCAGAGACTCCAAACATGTCATGTGTTAGGTTCCACAAATGTGTATGTGAACCATCTGGTGAACTTTGGTTCACCAGATGGTTCATACTACTATTATCATGGTATTACATATGGTATTGCATATGGAATACTATATGGTATTGTAAGTGAAGAATTGTATTGAAATAAGTGAAGAATTATGTAGAAATACAGAATTGTATTTGTGCTGCTTTTTCAGCTATGTTTTCATTCCATGTTTTCATTTTACTCTTTATGCTCAATTAGTATTAAGCTTTAGTCATTTAAGTTTTTCATGCCCGAAACGCTTTGCATAATAGTGGCTTTAGGCATTGTATGTACTAGCCCTATCTATAAATCCATCATTCTTTGTAAAATCTCTTGTATGTATGTACCTTACCTAAATAAACATTTGATTTTTGAACTTTGCAATACCATATAGTATAAGCACTTGAAACCTGGTCTACAGTGGATGGTTTAGATACAAATTCCCTGCTGTTTTAAAAGGAAGTTTCCAGCCATCGTGAAGAACTCGCAGTTCAGGGGGGGGGGGTAAAATCGGTGACAAATCACAGACGGTTGTCAAAATATTTTGCTTCAAAACCTGTCCAAGGTTGCAAAAATAGAGTATGTTTAGTTAATGCTGTTAAGACCAGTACTGTCTAGAGGAGCCCCCAACTCGAAGGAAACCCCAATCGAACGGCAAATCTGGATGACAGGGAAGGATTTCATTATGATTGTGAAATCAGATTTGATAGAAAATTATGTAAGAGTTCCAATCAAGTGAATATCAAGTACAGTATATTCAAGTACAGTACCAATCAAGTACTGGACTGCATTGTGACACAGAAAAATATTAAGAAATCTTTTTCAAGTAATTTTGTTATCAAAATACGGTGTGTACAAAAGTGTGTTCTATAATTTGCATTGATAAAAACAATAATTATGGCTATACACTACCCAAACCTTGATGGACTGCAACCCAAGGGCTTCAGAAAGCATTATTTTGTTTATATAAAGTTTGTGTGTACACTTTTAATGAGTCTATTATACTCTGTAGTCACATATGATAACTGTGAGGCCAAGTATAATCACTATGAATGTTATAGTCAGTGTAAAGGCTAGTATAATTGTAAAGCTAATGTACTGTATTCATTTCATAGCCTACACTAATCACTGTAAAATTTATTATGCACTGTCATTCGCCTTATGCGTTTTTGTTCTTGTGTTGGCTTCCTTGGTGATATTTAGCGCCCTCTGATTATCCCGCACATTTGATGGTGCTACATAGCCTTCCCGGTTTGGTGCCTTCTATTGATAATTACTTACTATTATGCACTGCAAAGTCAAATATACATAGTGTATTATAAAGCCTAAGTTAATATACACATACTAAGTAATGACATGAATGAAGAGTGTGAAGAGTTTCCTGTAGTGTACAGTAACTCGGTGGTTCTGATGGTGTTGCAGTCGGCCGGGATAAATCTCAGATTCTCGGAGACCAGTGGACAAAATTGATACTATAATAGTACAGTATTAGTAATAAGAATGTCATAATTGGGCAGAATACTATAGACAAATTATGAAAATGTGGTATATAATGTAGGTGGGAATGTGTGTTGCTTGTATGCTAATGAGCCGATTTTGTTACCTCTCAAGTTTGCATACGAGAATACTTCAATAATTTATGTATTTTAGTCCTTGGCTCACTTTGCTTCAGTTGGGGTTTTATAAATGCTTGCCTGGTTTTGGTTAGTTCATTAAAAATAATGGCCTTGAATTTTTTTCTTACAAAATTTATTAATGGGTGTTCATTTGCCTAATAAGTGAAGTGTTTCTTGTGTTACAGTAATGCATCCATTTTCCTTTGAAGCTTGAATCTTCCATGTTCTATTGGGATTGTGATTTCTGTTTATTGAACGTGCTTTCAGGTTTCAGGTGGTGACTACAAGTGATGGCTGATGCCCTGCTACATGCAGAGCTGCTAGCCGCTTGCTCTGCCTTGGGTTACAGCGATGGAGTCAAGTACCACAAGGAAGCCGACTGTCTGGAAACTACCAAGGATTTAGTTCGTTACCTAAGGAAGGATGACGAGAGCCATGAAATTAGGCGTGCACTTGGAGAGACCCGTGTCTTGCAGACAGATTTGCTTCCCTTGATACGAGATCACAGTCATGAAGGTGAATTGTTTGATATAATAATCAGGCTGCTAGTAAACCTGACAAATCCGGTTCTTCTGCTATTTCGTGAGGAGCTGCCAGAAGAGAAAGTAACTAGACAACAATTTTTGCAGTTGATAACACATCAACAAGGCTATAAGGAATCCTTCATAGATGAGAAGGTGTGGAGTGTGCTAGTGGGCAAACTTGGTGAGCTGCTCCAGCTGGAGTGGGATGTGCGTCAGGAAGACGACAAATTACTAATAGAGAGAATTTTGATTCTCGTCCGTAATGTTCTTTCGGTTCCTGCTAGTCCAGAGGAGGAGAAGAGGACTGATGATGATGCATCTGTCCACGATCAGGTGTTGTGGGCATTGCATTTAGCTGGCTTTGAAGATCTTTTGCTCTATATTGCCTCATCAGAGAATGAGCAAGATTTATGCATGCATGTCCTAGAAATAATTTCCCTCATGCTAAGAGAGCAGGATCCTTCACTGCTGGCCATGGCAGGCCTCCAGCGCTCACAGTCAGAAAAGGAAAAGGACGATAAAGAACTCCTGGAAATGCGGCAGAGAGAAGCCCTTAGCAAGCAGCAGCAGAAACGCAAGTATCATGGAGCACGACACTCCAGATTTGGTGGCACATATTACGTCCAGAACATGAAGAGCATCAGCGACCGCAATCTCATTTCACATCAGCCTATAAGCGACATAAAATCCATCAACTTTGACCGTGCCAAATGCCCCTTGAAGCGGCCTAAACATAGACTTCCAATGCGGGAGAGCAGCACCACTAGGAGATCAACTCTTGCTATTAGACTCTTTTTGCAGGAATTTTGCATTGAGTTTTTAAATGGAGCATACAACAGCATCATGTATATAGTGAAAGATAATCTTAATAGAGCTCGGGCACAGGAACATGACGAGTCTTATTATTTATGGGCAATTAAATTCTTCATGGAGTTTAATAGACATCATCAATTTAAAGTAGAGTTGGTGAGCGAGACCTTAAGCGTACAGACATTTCATTACATCCAGACAAATTTGGAGACTTACTACGAAATGATGTCCACTGACAAGAAGAAGATCCCCATCTGGTCACGGCGGATGCACAAAGCAGTAAGAGCATATCAAGAACTACTAATGACCTTGGCATGCATGGATAAGTCACCGGTTGAATCTGTGCGAGAGTCTTCCAGAGTTTTGAAAAGCAAGGTTTTCTATGTTGTAGAGTACCGGGAAATGGTCTTGATTCTGCTGCAGAATTTTGATCAATTGAAGATGACTTTAACCTATCTTAAGGATGTGGTAGAGACCAGCCACATATTCCTCAAGCTTCTAGAAGGCTTTTGTGGCAAGAATAAGCACATTTTTGTGCAACAAAAGAAAAAGCCTCGTAAGAAAAAAGTGATTTCGGGAAAGGCAGCAAGTACTGAACTAACAGAAGATAAGTTGCAGGATTTGTGGGATGAGATTTCCTCCGAGTTATCAGCCATTGTGCAGGGTGAGGCAGGGGAACTGCCAGATACAATTCCCTTTGATACTCTCTCGGAGCAAACTGAAGACGAACAGAAGGAAGTGGCCATGCGTAAGATAAACAGGTTGCTGCGCAATAGAGAAATTGCAGAGGCAGTCTCACTAATGAGGTCGTCTAGAGAAGTGTGGCCAGAGGGGAACATATTTGGCTCCCAAGGTATGGATCCATCTGACGAGTTCTTGTCTCTACGGGAGATCTTCATGGCAAAACTTAATCCAGTAGAGGAACCAGCTCCAGAGGAGGACTATGAAGATGAAGACGAAGAGGCTGAGGAAGAGGAGAGTCTAATGCACATCAGTGAACAGGAATTTAATTTTATGGATTTTTTGCGTCGTTTTGCTAACACTAATGTGATGAAATCTTATGCTTGTTTGATTAAACGGTACAAGTCCAATTCAACATATACCAACTACTGCATATTGAAGCTATACCACCGCATTGCCTGGGACTGCAAACTACCTGCTATGTTTTTTCAGGCTTCTTTGTTTTGTGTATTTCAACAAGCAATGGAGGATCCCCGCCAGAATTCAAATGAATCTGTCAAAGAAATTGTGAAGTTTGCCAAATATATATTTCGTCAGTTCTTGAAAGTGGCCGAGACAAACACCAAAGTATTTGTGGAACTGCTGTTTTATAAGACAAACAAAGAGGCTGTCGAGATTGAATGTGGTTACGGTGAGCAAGTTTCGGGTAAACAAGCTATGAAGTTTGCGTGGAAAGAAGAGGAGGAGGAAGAGCTGAGAAGGCTCTTTGAGGAGTTTGAGGGCATTCCTCCCGAAAGTAAAGAAGGTAAGGATACCGCTGACTTAATTGTGGAAAATCTCATCAATCAGACGAGGACGCGCCGAATGGTTATTAAGAAGATGAAAGAAATGGGTCTCATCAATGACGTCAAGCAACTAAAACAAAAATCGTTGAAGGTACAGGCACCCAGGGTGTGGACTGAGGAGGAGGAGGAGGAGTTAAGAATGCTTTTTGAAGAAAATAGGGATGCAATGGATATAGTTGGACGAATCATGGATAACTTGGTGGTGAAAAGACCAAAACATCGAGTAATTGAGAAAATCATGGAGCTCGGTCTTGTAGCCGACAGGAAGGCACTATATAAAAAAAGAGCTAAGAATCCGAAATCCAAAGTATCGTCAAAGCATCTAGGTGAACGATTCATAGCAGCCAATCAGTCTAGTGATGATGGAAATAGTGAGAGGGAGAGCGATGAATCAGATGATGAAAGAGAAAGAGAGAATGTATCGCCAGATGTAAGACTTGTCTCCAAGAAGATTTCACGGAAACCTTCAGACGCCCCACCAGTTGTCACCCCACTCTTGATTTCTCAGGCATTGAAGAGTGTTCTTGAAGCAAATATGCAGGAACCAGTAGATTGGATCTCCAAAGTCTTGAAAGATGTGGCCGACGACCGTGAGGAAGATGGCGATCTTGAACCTGTGCCAATTCTTGCCATAACGGAAGCCTGCACTGATGCCTTGGAAAATGAAAGCTTCCAGAAACTCATGAAACTCATTGGGCTTCGCCCTCCACAGAGTCATGAAGAGATGTTCTGGCGTGTTCCATCTTGCCTTTCTGTTGTGGCACTCCGTAAAAGGGCGCACTATCTCGTGCAAGGTATGTCTGGAAACATAGTTGACTCGGAAAATGCTGAGGAACCTTTGGAGCCAGTGGAAGATTCACAGGAAACAGAGAAGACAGCAATGGAAAAGGGGAAAACTCGAGAATCTTCAAAATCCAGACGTGCTAAACCCAAAGTTAAGTCTCGTAAACCAAAAAGATCAGAGGTTGTTGAAATGGATCTTGAAGACTCCGAGAACGTTAACCCCGAGGATAAAGAAAATTACCGTCCCGAGTCACAGTCGCCACTGGGAGGTGGCGGTGATAGCCAACAAACACTGCGACGAGCACGACTAGTGAATGACTCCAGTGATGATGATACACCCATTTTGTCATTAACTATTAACCCATCATCATCATCTTCTAAGAGAAAGAAGAGAAATATTAGTGACGATGAAGAAATTGAGGGAAATATAGAAAAACAGCCAATGCAAGAGAGAAAGGTGAAGAAAACACGTCTTTTGGTCATGAATGATGATTCTGATGATGATATTGAAGCAGTGGATAGCCATAATCTTGTATTGCACATGGATACAGAGTTGACTGAACCCAACAAGCAGGCCAGTGGTCGAGACACCACACTTATCGATAGCGACGAAGAAATGGTCGGTAAGGAAACTTCCAAAAGACTGAGGATGGTGGGTTCAGACTCGGAAGATGATGTACCACTAGTTGGCGGGAAGCCGAGAGCCAGAGCAGTTATAGAGAGTGACGATGAATGATGGTGCACTATTACACATACAATGCCTGTAGTCTGTACATGTTAACAATGAAATTGTATATACCATACAGTATTGATTTTTTTATGCTGGAATTAATTTTATTTTATTTTTTTTATTTTTTTTACTTTCCATGCTTAGATTATTGATTTTTTTAAAAATACAGTATCTTTATTTTCTTTATCACCAGCTCTTCCTTTGATCTTCTCCTCTCTCCTCTTCTCCTCAGAGCTCTTCCTCTCTCTCTCTCTCTGTCATATTCGTTATATATACTGTACTGTATATCTAAAATTATTTTGTAATGTGAAATAACAATTTATATTCATGCATTAGGTTTTACTTTTTATAAGATATAAATAACCATTAGCCATTACTAACATTATGTGAACCTGGCACACGACCAGTGTGTAAAGTGATGATTAAATGTGCGATGTGATGTAATAAACGTTTCCCACATGCGATGTTTCTCTTCTACTATACACAATCCTCGCGTGTACAAAATTCACCTTGTTTCCGTCAGACCAAGTGATGCTGTATTGGCTAGCATTTCTGGGTGAGGAAGTCCATGGTGTACTGTGTAGTGGGCTCTAGTAAGATCTTTGTCCCATGACAAGTGGGGATACCCTCGGGGCTCACTTCCGGGATCACTACTGCTCTTAATTTATGTGAATGATCAACCCAAGGAATTAAGCTCATACATGTCAATGTCTACAACAATGTAAGGCTTGTGAGTGATGTAATAACTGAGGTGGGATTGCAAAAAGTTACAGGAAGACCTCGACAAACTCCAGAAGTAATTAAAGACGTGTTTGTTAGAATTCATTCCCAACATGTATAAGATAGTAAAGATGGGGAAAGGAAGAAGAGAGACTAGGAGGAGGTAGCCACAACATAAAAAGGTAATTACAGGAATCGGAAAGGGAAAAAGAGTTGGGAATAATTTAAAAACTAAGTGCAGAGGTGCACGGTTAACATTGGCAGCATGTAGGCAGTTAGCAAACATGTTCTTTATGTTCTTTAAGGACATAAATGAGGACTTTCAAAGGCCTTTTCACTCTATGTAGCATATGTTAGAACAATTGTAGAACATGCTGCACCAACCTGGAATCCACACCTTGTGAAGCATAAAAACAAATAAAAGTTTGCAATAAGTATAATGCCAAAAATAAGACAGTTAAGTTGCAAGGATATAATAAATGAATAAATGTTTATTCAGGTAAGGTACATACATACAAGAGATTTTACAAAAATTTATAGATTTATAGATAGAGCTAGTACATACAATGCCTAAAGCCACTATTACGCAAAGCATTTCGGGCAGTTAAGAGAACTATGTTAAGAGAATAATTAACTTAAGAGAATATGTTAAGTTAATTATTAGTTAAGTTAATTAAGAGAATATGTTAAGAGAACTAACTTTCACAACCCCAGAGAAGGGAAGAAACAGTGGGGGATATGATCACACCATAGAAGATACTGAAGGGAATACACAAGGTGGACAAGGACTGAATACACAAGGTGGACAAGGACTGTCATTAAACTAAGAAAGCAGGACAAGACACAATTGAAAGTCAATTTCCTCAAGGAAAATTCCAGAAGTCCTACTTGGTACAGGTGGCCAACAAGTGCGATAGTGAAAGTTGTTGTGGAAGCCACAGGCGACCACAATTTAAAGGCTAGACCAGCCTTCTATCCTCTGGTCCTTTGGTATACCAGCCTTCTATCCTCTGGTCCTTTGGTATACCAGCCTTCTATCCTCTGGTCCTTTGGTATACCAGCCTTCTATCCTCTGGTCCTTTGGTATACCAGCCTTCTATCCTCTGGTCCTTTGGTATACCAGCCTTCTATCCTCTGGTCCTTTGGTATACCAGCCTTCTATCCTCTGGTCCTTTGGTATACCAGCCTTCTATCCTCTGGTCCTTTGGTATACCAGCCTTCTATCCTCTGGTCCTTTGGTATACCAGCCTTCTATCCTCTGGTCCTTTGGTATACCAGCCTTCTATCCTCTGGTCCTTTGGTATACCAGCTTTCTATCCTCTGGGACCTTTGGTATACCAGCCTTGTACCCTCTGGGACCTTTGATATACAGTATTATTGTATGTGCACCATACAACAATATTCTGTCGTGCTGGGGCCAGAGTACAGAGTTGCTGCACATGTAGGAGGAACATGTGTTATGAGGATTGTCTTAGATGGTTTGTGTGTTTCCCGTTTCATTTTAGTTTGCACAATGTGTGGAACAACTCTGTTTATTAATGCACAATTCTGTTGCACACATTCCTCAGGCAGGACAGAAACGGTTAAAAGACAGTGAGAATTTAATAGAAAATGGTGATTGACTAAAGTAAATTGGCTTACATTGTAATATGTACAGTACACGTATATTGCACATTAATCTATTCCTAGCACAACTCTAAAAAGAAGTGTTTTGCTCCTATTATGTCAGGTAATGTCTAGAAATATTGTATTCAAATGCAAAAGTGAAACACCAAATTGTAATTCCACAGTAATTGCATTGCTTGTGGTACAAGATAACCTTATGGATCTTGGCACAGTATTATAGCTATTTTTATCATTTGTAAATAAATGGGTGATAGTTAAAGTCAACATATGACTTTATGAACTTAAACTAGGGGTCAACGTATAAAGACAACTGCACTTTAAAGGTTAATGCCCTTTTTAGAATTCCATTTTCATAGAAGTAAAAGTTGTGTTATTGACAGGAAAGATGGACGAGAACCTTAAAGGATGGTACACGGAGCGCTCGCCCATGTGGCCCGGCCAGGCACTCTCGCTTCAGATCAAACAAGTTCTCCATGAAAAACAAAGTCAATTTCAGAAAATTCAAGTTCTAGAAAGGTCAGACAAATAGCTGATTGTTGTTTAGAATTAACACCATACACTATCATGATTATATCTGTTTATGCAAGTGGCCACCCATCGTGGTTCTTCTGTGAATTTGATGTTTGTGTGGTGCAGTGATTAGCAGGCTCGCTCTTCAAGCAAAAATGGTCTAAGATTTAACTTCTGGGTAAGGTAAAATGATAGATACTATGTCTCTCTTGAACTTACAAAGTAAACAAACATGGGAATGTTGGGATCAAAATACAGTACCACGATTTAAGTTTTAAAATAGTTTAATATGAGAGCAACTCTTAGTTGACAAATACGTGGTGGTTAGACTCCATTCCTCACTCCTGCATTCTTTCAGAATCTGTACATGTGATAAACACTTTTCTAAGCTGTAAATATAGTTGCTTTCTCAGGCATGTTGATGCGAGACCACAAAGACCACGACGACTGGCCCCCATGACTGGCATGGGGGGAGAGAAGAAATACCCAAACCCATGCTGGATGTGTTGGTAAAAAGCTTAAAGCAATGAACTGTAACCCTCCATTAAATTTGAGCTAAAAAGCCTCCAGAGGAAACCTCCACAGATCCTTCAAGGTCAGTGGAGCCATGACAGCAATCCTGATGCCAAAAGCAAGCATAAAATAAGGAAATTGTTTCGAACAAGTGAAATTAAGTTGTCCCAAGTCTTTCAATCTCCTGACATGAGTAAGGTGATGGATCCTGGCACCTACGTGGACAAGCTCAGTCTATCAAGGAAGTATGGTGATGGATGCTCAAATGATCCAGTCATCAAGGTAGATCAAGAAATTGATTTTGTAGAGACAAAGCTCCTATCAAACCTCCCTGGTAAGGCTGGTGAAACTAGAAAGCATATTGAAGCCAAAGGTTAGTACTGGAAGGTGAGAGCGACCCAGAACCCCAACCAGTTTTGGAACCTTGGGTAGATAGGCACATGCCAAGACTGATTAAAACCATCTGGTAAACCACAAACTTTGACTCCTACAGATGAAGGATCATGCTCTTAGTGAGCCCTTCTTGCTCTTTGAGAAAGACAGGATTGAACTAGAAGGGAATATGTTACATCAATTCCCCCCTCCCATTCTTTGGCCAACATCTTCTGAATGTAGAAACAGAGGAATGGAGAACACAGGTGCTCTGCAATAAAGACACCACACTCAGAACAGACCCTTGAATACCACTTGTGACTTCCAAAAATCCTAAGCTAAGGCCAAATAAAAAGCCTGCAGATATCTCCTTGCCATCATTGTGACCTGTAACTAAAAGTGGGTGAAAAAAAGCCACGACTCTTCTCCCCAAAATAAGCATGCAGTGCTCACAGAAAAGACGCAACCCAGTCTCTCTAAAAGACGCAATATGTAACTAAATTGACCAAACCACACACTAGAAAGTGAAAGGACGACGACGTTTCGGTCCATCCTGGACCATTCACAAGTCAATTGTGACTTGAGAATGGTCCAGGACGGACTGAAATATAGTCATCCCTTCACTTTCTAGTGTGTGGTTTGGTCAATTTAGTTACATATTGTTGATGTTATACTCCAGCTAATACTCCCCCTTTATAAATAAATTGTCTGTAGGGCTTGTATATATTAATGATCTACTTCCTGGCCAGGGTTTACACTATCCCATCCATTTCCCATACTTCCCCATTCACTCTGACTTCCCTGCAAATGAGTAAAATAACAGTTTTGTTTGTGGGGTCGACAGCACACATTATGGGAAAGTGTTGGTGCTGGACGGAGCCATCCAGTTCACCGAGAGGGATGAGGCGTCTTACCAGGAAATGATAACCTTTCTACCAATCAACTCGCATCCCAATCCCAAGAAGGTAAACCACATCCCAGTCCCAAGAAGGTAAATCACCCTTATCCAAGAAGGTAAATCACCCTTATCCAGGAAGGTAAATCACCCTATACAGTACACTGTAGTAGTGGAAAGAGCCAGAATCCTTGATGAACAAGTGATATTGAATGTTTGGACTCATTCTGGCCCCATTTAGTCCATTCTGTTGTGTTGTATTGAATGTACAGTAGCTCTATTGTACCATCTAAAATGCATTATGAGCAGTGTTTCAGATGATGATTTTGTTGTAGTCTTGTCAAATGATTTGGCCAAGTCCTTGCTAGCATTTGCCAGTCCCGCTTGGCTCCCTTTTTGACGTGCTCAACTCTCGTAAAATAGGTCTTTCCGCAGAACTCTTTCCCATGTGAACTATCATGCATATTACATTTACTTAAGGTGAGTGTATTCACTTTTTACATGTATTATTCTTTCTATTTACATTGAAAGTTGGGTCTGATGATATGTTTTCACCATTTCCTATAACTTCTATTTTTGTTTTCTATCATTTACTTTTCCATAATACTTTTCTTGTGTGTTAGTGGGTGCGTGTGCAACCCGTTCTCGCAAATTTAATAAGTCAATATTGACTTATTAAATATGTGCATAGGTGACATACTTAACATAAAAGTTTCCCTTGAAAAGCTTCATAGAAAACACCGACCTTACCTAACCTACTTAGTATGTTAAGATAAGCATCTTATTGCTTCGTAATTACAATTATTACCTAACCTATACCTAT